ATGAAACGTCCACCCACAGCCAGCTGCTGCTTCTGGAAGTGTGGAGAGATGGAGGCTAGAAGCTTCCTCCATTTCTTCCCTAGCAACTGATATTTAAGGGCTTGCTGTACCCTTAGAGGACGCCACTGCTTATTTCCTTCCACTGTGAAGACTCTTTAACTCTTCCCTTGTGTTTCCAGTTCTTTTGATCAATTACTGACTTACAACAGGTGTCTGACGTCTTGTCCAAGGTCTGCCAGGCTTACTCAGGAGCCTCTAGTGAGGGACTTTATCAAAAGCTCATTTGAAGTCTGTGGATATGGTATCTACTGAATTACCTGCATCTACACATGCTTGGGAGGGACGCGGGTGGCGCTGTGGGTTAAACTACAGAGCCTAGGACTTGCCGATCAGAAGGTCAGCGGTTCGAATGCCCGTGACGGGATGAGCTCCCGTTGCTCGGTCCCTGCTCCTGCCAACCTAGCAGTTCGAAAGCACATCAACATGCAAGTAGATAAATAGGTACCACTCCGGCGGGAAGATAAACAGTGTTTCCGTGCGCTGCTCTGGTTCGCCAGAAGCGGCTTAGTCATGCTGGCCACATGACCCGGAAGCTGTACGCCGGCTCCATCGGCCAATAAAGCAGCGTGAGCACCGCAAGCCCAGAGTTGTCCACGACTGGACCTAATGGTTAGGGGTCCCTTTACCTTTACACATGCTTGATGCTCTCATAGAAATTCAATGGTTGAAGAGGCAGAACTTCCTCATGCAGAAGTTACTCCAGTTCTTTTTCAGAAGTCTGCTTTCCCAACTCCTCATCCTGACTTACCCCCAAGAACCTGAAAAAGTAGTCTTAAATTGCATACCTTCCAATCTGTGGCAGAGACTGATTTTACTGTCAAACTGAATTATTATTAGAATCTAGTTCTCCAAGGACTCTTTACTATCTGGGTTCAGAGATTAGTTTTTTAGCCAGTCCACTGGACCAGGTTTTGGGGGTCCCTCAGACAAGTCTATGCAGCCTTTCTCCCTTCAGTTTGCCATTGCTAATGTGTGCTCACTCGCCCAGACAACTAGCTGGCAGACAAGGCGTAGTGAGGAAAATGAGTGTCTGTCACAGATGCTTCCCAATCAACACACTTTGATTTTATTTTTGCTTTCTTACACTTTTACCCATCTTCTTGTTGTTGTTTTTTACGCTGACGTTAATTCTCAATGCAAATCATTTTGGAAAGAAAGGCAGGATGCAAACACTTCAAATAAAATAAAATAAAAACCTTAGTTGTTTTTATGCATGGGTTTATAAATAAAATGTGTATCATGCTCTTTGACCTCAAGGTTCAAGAACAGTTGGGACTTGCTGACATCTTGTTGTATGTTAAGAGCAAGAACGCTGCAACAGCTGGTGGCAGAAAACGTGCCCGTTTAGACTTATCTAATCCTTCATTAAACAAATTCACTTAAAATGTAGTTTTGAACAGAGTCTGAACAAGTTTATGGAGGAAATCAGAATTTAAGAGCAAGTTTAGATGTTGCATTTCTCAATTCACGTCGGCAATGCAGGCTGTCAGCCTGTGCTTGTGTTTATGCCTGCATTGTGCATGCACCAAGGAAGCCCTGCTCCTCTTCTCTGGCTTCTGTAGTCACAGCAGCTGGAGAAAGCACTCAGAAAAGTCTGAAATTGCCGTAGTATCTTAACGCGTCCTTGGCATACTTCTGAAATTGTGCTGCTTCAGAGCAAGACTGGATGTGTATCCTAAGCTACATTTTGCAATTCTTAAAGTTGTGAAATCCAGCTGATGAAGCAAGGGTTTTTGTTCTTCTAAACGAGACCTTGTAGAAATAATTAACTAGATCTCTGGTAAGACAGGGGAGGGGAGGAGAAATACTTTTATTATCAGAAGAGGGAAGAAGGGAAGTACCAACCAAGCAAAGAAGTTGTACCAAACTAAACATAGTACAAAAGCACATCTGATATTTGACTACGTCAATGGGCCAATTTCAGTACAGTGGTGCCTCGGGTTACAGACGCTTCAGGTTACAGACTGCACTAACCCAGAAATAGTACCTCGAGTTTAAGAACTTTGCTTCAGGATGAGAACAGAAATTGTGCTCTGGCGGCGCAGCGGCAGCAGGAGGCCCCATTAGCTAAAGTGGTGCTTCAGGTTAAGAACAGTTTCAGGTTAAGTACGGACCTCCGGAATGAATTAAGTACTTAACCCGAGGTACCACTGTACGGTACCTACAAATTGAATCGCAAGAAGGAGAATAGCATAGATAGATGTTTCTTGCCGTGCAGATGCAAGAAAGAGTGTGATCCACACAATATTCAACATTCCCATTGCCCAAGATAAGACTCACACAACATACTTCCTTTGGTGTGATAGAATCCACAGGTGTTTAAAAAAATATTTTTAGTAGAGTATATTATTTTAACTTCCCTTGTGCAACGTCTCAACCCTTGCACAGTCAAGAGTTTGCTAGACCCTTAAAAATGTAGTATAAACACCAACAATTAGGAAACACTTGCCTGCGAGCGCTCCAGTTGGAGAACAGCCTTTTCCAAAAGTGCCATGGGCTTTGAAAACACTCAAACTCAGGATGCAAGGGAGAAACGTGCTAAGAGGAAGGCACGCTTGGCAAATCCACACCGTGATCAACTCCCGCCCGGAAACCAATGTCCCCACTGTGGAAGGACGTGTGGATCCAGAATTGGCCTCCACAGTCACTTACAGACTCATTGTTAAAAACCGTGTTTATGGAAGGCGATCTTACTCAGCTACGGGTGATCGCCAAAGAAGAAGAGACCCTGGAAAATCCAGGAAAAGGTGAACCAGGCCGTGGAGAGTCCTGACTTGGGGAAAGATCTAACGATTCTAACCATTCTGCAATACCAGTTCCACACACCATTACACATAGAAAGCATCAAGCAGAACTTCAACAATAGTGTCCATATGCTTATATTGTAGCAGGAAGTGGTAATGTGATTGAATCACCATGAGCAAGCAAACAACTGCAAATAGAACCTGGGAGGAAGCAAGAAGCAGCATTACGTTTGCAATCTGATCAGCTGGATAACCAGCAGGACTAAGTCATGGCGGCACCTGATGATCTATAATAAATCACATTAAGCAGCCCAAGGGCAGTTCTTACCAATGTACTTACGGTGCTAAGCCCTTTGGCCTAATTAGAAGACACACAACAGCTACAGGGATGCAACATTTTATTTATTTCATCAGCTTGGTATATTAAGAGCAAGCCGAGTTATGGGATAAATCTTCAACACAGATTCCAAGGTCACAAACAAGATGAATATAGAAATGGCAGAAAATTTCATTTAACTGGATTGGAGTTTGAAGGGACAAGAGGTCATGTTGTTCAGCAATGGAATTGTACATTCTATTCATTTAAAGAATTCGGTTTTATAGCTTTGTTTGGATTGCCATGTTCAAAAATCCTGATTTGTATTCAAAGCAAACAAAGGAAAATCACCTAAACCAGTGTTTCCCAAACTTGGATCTCCAGCTGTTTTCAGACTACAATTCTCATCATTCCTGATCACAGGCCTTGCTAGCTAGGGATGACGGGAGTTGGTGGTGAAAGAAGGGTGAGATGGTTTACTTGGAAATTGCATGCCTATCCTGAAAAGTGTAGATCTGAAGAACTGTAAATAAAGAGCTGGATTATTTAAAGAACCAAAACTAAAGATCACATCCCACCAACCCATGATTTTTTAAAACACAGATCGGGAGACATACATCAACACAGCATTGATTTCTAGATGGAAAACCAGTGCTTTAGCCTTAATATGGTTAACTCCCGCAGATGATATTTGACATAAGCCAGTTTATTAAAATTGTGAGTACAGTGGACCCTCCAGATATGAACTTAATTCATTCCAGGGGTCAGTTCGCACCCCGAAAATTATGTAAATAGAGGCGTGCTTCTGCACATACACACACGGCAAAACCTGGACATAAACACTTCCGGGTTTGCCATGGCCGTAACCCGAAGATTCTGTATCCAGAGGGATACGTAAGTAGAGGTCAGACTGTACTTGTAAATACAAAATTCCTGAAAAAGACGCTCTCAAATATACAGCACAAATAAACCAAAGTTTGGCAATATTTTTTGATCTGGAAAATGTTTCTGAAATGTCATTAAAGTTGCGGTAATGCTCCTATTTCCTGTAGCCACGTACGAAGGAAAAGACATTGGGGACTGATTCTAATGACTGACGTAAGAGAAGTTGTTAGAAGGGCTGATTTTAAACCTTGTGTGCACAACCTGCAGGATACGTAATGCCCTTCCAAGCCGACATCACTGATTTCTGCTGCCTGGGGAGACCCTACGCCCTCATTTTTTGCCACCAAACAATGCTGCCTGTGATGGGAGGAAGGACCGCAGTTTCCCACCCTCAACACAAACCTTTTTGACGCCCTGACCTCTCTTGCCATTTGACTCCCTGGGCTCGTGCACAAAAGAAGTTAAAGCAAATGCGATTTGGTGAATGCAACCTGCAGGAATGGGTAACAGCATCCTCCGACTTACCCGTAGCTTGGCAGAAGAGGAAGAAAGTGGTCTGGGCACCCACGTGCCGGATCTGGTCACTTAGGAACGGTGGCATCAAGGTGACTGTGGCAAAATCTGCGCTAGACCAAACATCGGGCTGGGGACTGATGGATGGAGGACGCGAGTCACTTTCCATACAGGACAAAGAGGAGGAACCAGTAGGAGGGAAAGTTATGGGAGATGAAGCTGTGGCAGAGGAGGACAGAACAGGAAAAAGAAGAAGAAAAGGGCACTAAGGAAAAAAGTTCTAAGAACATGCCAAAGAAATAGTTTGCAAAGGAGGGGGGAAATGAGCAGTGAACATTTAATCAAAAGAAAGTTCCTTCTTATTTCTGTTTTGAAATACAGGAAATCACACCTGTTCAAATCTTACAGCGAGAAAACCCTCTAAAGCTTCTGGTTTTTTTAAAGACAAGTTATTATTGCTCAAGGACAAGGATGAAATACAATGAACTTCAATATTTATTTCCTTATTTTTTTCATATATACAGAATCAAAAATAGAAAAATAAAAGCAAAAATGAACCATACAAAATCTAGAACAGTTTACACTAAGACCATCTAAGGTGTGTGCTGGGGAAATATTTCAACAGGAACAAAGAAAAGAAAAGGACTTTGGGACATGTTGCCTACTCAGTCGTCTCTATTTCTAACCATATTTACATGAGACACAAAAGACAGCGAGAGACAAGGATTTTTAAAAACTGTACAGCGCAAAGGAGTTTTACAGACAAATAGTGCCGTTGTTGAGTCCCAGGAGAGATAAAGTGGTCGGCCCTTTGGGCAGTTTTCTGCTCTTCTCTGGTTTCTTTTCTCCAGTTGCCTTTTTGGAAAACATTGGTGGAAGTTGTGAAGAAACAGTGAAAATATTTGGCAAAGTTGATTATGGGGGTGAGAGAGGCTGGAGCCCTATTGCTTCCCAAACTGTGGGGAAAAGTTACAAAATGCATGACATCCTCAACAGTCTCTTTTGAGAAGTCCATCGCATGTTTGCCAAGGTCCGCATTGTATCTCTGAAACAGAAGCCTCTCACACTGCTGCGGTTCAGTGACTACTGTTTGTCCACAATAATCCACTTTTTAAAACCTTAAAACAATTCCATAAAATCAGTTAATGTGGCAGTGTCCAACTACATCTTTTTAACATCTTTTTTCTAAAGCTAAACTCCCCACAACCCAAAAATGAACATTAAGCTCTCAAAATGATTACCATATCAACGCCTCTAAAATAAAAATAAAAATGGGGGGGGGGAGATAATTAACCAAAGCTTATCCCTGAGAACCTTATGCAACTCTAGAATACATCATATTCTAAAAAGGTACACAAACAGTTTTGGAAAGATCCAACATTTCTTTCACCAGCTAAAACTACCAGACAAATGCATTAAAATCACTAGATGCAAAGAAATGTCCCAATCTGGACAAAAAGGCTATTATTTACCAATCTGATAAACTAAACATCATTTCCAATTTGGAATTAAACTGAAATTAGATTTTTAATGGCAGTTAAATACGTGCAGGCAGGAGCTACTGAAATCCTTTTTGGTATGACTCTGCAACAAGAGTTAATTTTACCTTCTATGAAAAAGAGGGATTAATCAAAATAGTCAGTATGCGCAAGTGTTAAATTATCCTTGGCTGGGGAGCAGGGGGAGGGCAGCTTAGAAGCTCACCGTGTGAAACCGTAACTGGCCATTTAAAATAAAGAAGAAACACATAAGAAATAAGTGTGTAACAGAACCGTTTTCAGAAAATGCGAGATCTCTCTCTGCTCTATCCAGGTGTGAAATGACAATGTGTCACTTCAAAAAAGCTGAGAACACGTAGCCCTTTCTGGCCCAGTTATCACATCTAAAATGTTTTGTGTTCGGAAACAAACGGTTCAGAATGACAGTACTTTCATTAGGGGAGGTGGGGTTTTTCTCCTTTAATCCCCCTCAGCATCCGAGTCAGCAAATTTCAGTTCGCACTTGACATCAAAAGGTTTGTCCTTGACTTCCTTGTAAGACTGCGAATGGTCCTCATCGTGTTGAACATGGCCGTTTCCATAGTCGGCTTCAGTCTCGTATCCCGTGTCATGTGCCGGTTTTGGGTGCTCCCCGCTTTGGGTCAGGAGACTGCCTGGCTCCACCAGGGTCTCCTTCACGCTTTGCTCACAGTCAGAGAAATCGGCCTTGGGCTTCTTCTTCCCAAGCAACATAGCGGAACGAAACTTCAGGCACTGGTCCGGCAGAAACCCTTTGTAACAGTTGTAGGCAAACAGGCACAGGAAGAGCACGAAAAAGAAGAGGAAGAGGAACATCAAGAGGGAGTTATCGTTGGACCTCAGAAACATGGTCTTTGCAGAGACCTCGGGAGGAGAGTTCAAGAGCTCGACGTCAGGTGCGGTGCTCATGAGGGTGGGGACAATGGGATTCGTCACTATCCTGGACGTTGTGACTGGTACCACCGGGGAGGTGGACATGTGAGCGGCCGAGTCTTGGATTGCGACAGTTGGCATTTTGGCTGCTTCCGCGTTGCGTTCCGTCGGTGTGGTTGGCTGGGTGGGGCTCAGAGTGGTGTGCTGGACTTTCCTCAGTTCCAAAACATGCTTCGCCAACACTTGCGAGAACTTCTGGTTCTTCACTTTTTCTTCCGACAGGCACTGATAGACGCCGCTGTCGCCCTCGGACAAATTGAAGATCAGCAGCGCCTTCTCCAGCAGCCGGTACTTCGGACTTTCCACCTTGAGCACATCGTCCTTGAATTTCCAAACCACCTGGGCCAGGTTGGACTTCTGAGAGCATTTTAGCTCTGCAGTGCTGCCATGCTTGAAAGTGTGCTGCAGATAATGCTCTCTTACTTTATCTGGAACAGCAAAATAAATGTAAACGAGAACAGAAATGAGTTTTCTTTTCGGTGTGGGGAGCAGGCCAATTCAGCCATGCAGGCATATACTGGGGAAAAACTACCAGCTCACAACACGTGTCACGCTAGCCTGAAACAACAACACTTATATACTCGTCACAGGGTACAGCTTACAATGGATATGTATTTGTCTAGGATAAAGTGGTGGCATTCCTAAGTATCTCTGGAACTGCTTGCTAAACTGCTGTATTCCAAAGATTGAGAAATCTGTGCAATTAGCGTATGATTTGTGTATGGGGATGAGGGGAGTAACACATGAATGCTTCTCTAAGCCTTAAGTGTTAAAAGATGATGTGCAGTCATCACAGGAACAAAGACTGCATACACAGGCTCATCCCAATAAAATGAGCACACATGAAATTGCCAGGGGGAAAAACCCAAACCCAGAAAGTGCAAAACCTCAAAAAATGAATCATCCGAAGAGTCATAAACATTGCTGAAATATTTAAGTGCAACTACCTTTTATCTGAAATACTGCTTTGCGCTTAAATTCTTTTGCAAGAAAACACAACCGCCTGGTTCACACAACACAGTAAGGACAAACTATGGCTTTCTGAGACCATAGTATTTTCCGAGTCTGGCAGGGTTCCATGTGTGCAATAGAGATTGCCAAACAGAGCTTTCAGTAACTCACACGTGGTGGACAAAGTCAGAAAGAGCCCAATGCAAAGAAAATACTTGGGAGTTCTACTACACCAGGCCTTTTTGGTGGTGGCTCCCCACCTATGGAATGTTCTCCCCAGGGAAGCATGCCTGGCACTATCACTGGCTACTTTTAGGCACCAGGCAAAAAACCTTTACAGTCAGGCTTTTGGTCTTTAGATAGTGTGGTCTCTTTTAGTAGACATCAGTGCCTTTTTATGTATATCACTCCTTTTAAGCTTTTATTTGGTTTAACTCTGTACTGGTTTCAATTTTCGTATTCTAGGTTGCTTTTCAGCTTTCTCTTTGGTTAAAAAAACTGACAGCCCAATAAATAAATAAATAAAACAGAATCTCTATTCAACGTATTCACACCATATTTTTTTCATTAATATGGCAGCAATAGTAACAGCAACTCTTTGCAGAAAATGTGCTGTTATGGCAAGAAATACCGCGTGTTGCAGCCAAACTGCTGACTGAGGTTGGTTACGGGGAACACAGTTACTCCCTCGTTTAAAACAACTTCACCGGATACTGGTCCATTTCCAGGCACAATTCAAATTGCTGGTTATGTGTGAACCTGCCTGGGTGCTGAGACCCTTGGGTGAGTGCCTTCTCTTGGTCCCATCAACATCACACCTAGTGGTAACACAAGAGATAGCCTTTTCTGTGTCTCAAGAGAAGCTGGACTGTCTCTTTTCTGCCAGTTTTCTTTCTGTCCTATTCAGACAGGCCTTTGGAAAGCAAAGAGCAAGTGATACTGATCAGCGGGCGTGCTGTCAGCACAAACTGTTTTAACTGCTGATTCTAACTGTGCCCTGATGTGTTTAAATTAATGTTTCTATTCTATAATGTTTTTAAATGTAAGCCACCTTGAATCCCAACTTGGGAGAAAGGTGGGATATCAATATGTTGATGATGATGATACTCAGTGGCTTGAGGCATCATCTCTGGGCATGCAAAACTTGTCCTTTTGGAAGGCACACCCAAAAGTATTTTCAGCCAGAAACATTACATTAGACATTAATATGGTGGTACCTTGGTTTTCGAACGTAATCCGTTCCAGAAGACCATTCGAGTTCTGAAACGTTCGAAAACCGAAAACTCAATACAGAAAACTCAATGCGGAAGCAGTGTGGCATGTTTGACTTCCGAGGCGTGTTCGAAAACTGAAGCATTTACTTCCGTGTTTACGGCGTTCGAAAACCGAAATGTTCGTCAACCGAGACGTTCGAAAACCAAGGTACCACTGTATTGATTTCATAAACCCCATGACAATTCAAGGGTATAAAAGGCAATTTCCTCAAGTAATTACAATAACAGCTCACAGAGGGGTCACCAAGATGTGCTCTCAGAGACCTTCTCTGAGTTCTGGCCCCCTGCCCCTCCGTCCCTCTCCTGAGAGAAGCCTCCTTCAGCCAACAGAAGACTTTTTTGAAGCCTAATTGGGGCATGGAGGAAAGGTTACAGCTGGGGAACAGTTGTGGCACATGTGAGGGGGCCACAGACTGCGAATTGGCCCTATTTTGGGGTGGAGGGGGAAAGGAAAGTAAAAACAAGCCAAAAATAAAAAGGTGTGGGTTTTTTTATAGTAACAAAAAGCTACACATTAAATAAAAGTGTTAAGATATCGCACCAAGCAATTCTGTGGAGGAGCTCAGCCCAAATGTTTATTATACTTTATTATTTCCCCACCTCTTTTGGAAAGAAAGAAACGCTTACCAGCAGTACAAGAAGAAGCATCGCCACTAATATTCTGAATCCAGTCCCTACAAAAGTAAAGAGACAGTCAGAGAGTCAATACATTTACCATCGTCTGCCCACCCTACCCTCTGGGTGCAAATCTCTTCCCACCTGCAAATCTGTTATCTGCCTCCCTCCAAATGCCTGGAAAGGCGGCACGGGTAGGATTTGATAATATCCAAACAAGTGACGCAGAAGAGAGGGAGAGGAAGGAGCGCAGAAGCCGTCGGATCACCTTTTTGCTGAAGGGCAGCATTCCACAAAGTGACAAACAGACCCTTTATTTAAATAAACAAGTTGTGTGTGTTTGCAACAGTTTGGAACACAGTTTGGGAAAGCCGCTGTTTGGGAACCCTTTTGGAAAAACACTTCTCAGACATGGCAGTGATTTTGAGTCTGCTGACTCCAAATCTGTGCCGAAGCCAGGTAGCTTTCTTTACAGACCTTTAAATGGGAAAAATCATGTAAAATATCTGCAATCTTCTAATACCTTTCTCCTATAGTGTCTGTGCTTGGGATATCTGGTTTTAATTGTGCCCATGGAGGCAAAAGAAAGATCTAGAAAAAGAACAGCCCACAATTTTTTTCAGGCTAACAGCTGCTGTGGATTTGGCAGTGAAATGTTTCATAGGGGAAGTCAGAACCACGCGTGTTATGTCTTGACGTCCCGATATTATGTGTGTGAGCATTGTGCTTCCCTTCCCTAAGCTGGGCAGAAGCTTTCTAGACTCTGAGAAGGAGGCGCCAGACTTTAATACTTCAATACTCCAATTTACCAGGAACATTCAGGGGACTAGACTAGTCCCCTAGTAGTAGTAGTAGTAGTAATTTATTTATTCCCTGCCCATCTGGCTGGGTTTCCCCAGCCACTCTGGGCAGCTCCCAACAGAATACTAAAAACACGATAAAACATCAAACTTTAAAAACTTCCCTAAACAGGGCTGCCTTCAGAGGTCTTCTAAAAGTCAGAAAGTTGTTTATTTCCCTGACATCAGATGGGAGGGCGTTCCACAGGGAGGGCATCACCACCGAGAAGGCCCTCTGCCTGGTTCCCTGAAACCTCACTTCTCGCAATGAGGGAACCGCCAGAAGGCCCTCGGAGCTGGACCTCAGTGTCTGGGCTGGACGAAGGGGGTGGAGATGCTCCTTCAGGTCTACTGGGCCGAGGCTGTTTAGGGCTTTAAAGGTCAGCACCAACACTTTGAACTGTGCTCGGAAACGTACTGGGAGCCAATGAAGGTCTTTCAGGACCAGTGTTACATGGTCTCGGCAACCACTTCCAGTCCACTGACCGCACACCACTGGGTAGGGAGGGATAACGTGGTGCTGCTGACAGCCTGCTTGCTGCAATGGGAAACGGACCCGTCCCACCTAATTGGTAAGCCAGAGAGGAGTGGTGGAAAGTAGGCGGTAATCTAACTTGCTAATACTGTGTACTGCAGCTGTAAGCCTAGCGTGCTATTGGTAGGCAGCTCCTGTAGTGGCCTGGTATTCGTGCCCAGCTTCCTGAGGATGCTTAAGGAGATTATCTCAAGGGGATTTGTAGGGAGCCCTGGAATAACATTATGAACAGCAGAAATGGGCCCTGAGATCATCAGTTGGGGTGCTTCCCCAAATTCCTTCTCAGAGATACTTTTGTTCTGTTTGAGACGTCCGGGTAGAGGGCAGTATATACCGTATTTTTCGCTCCACAAGACACACTTTTTTCCTCCTAAAAGGTATGGGGAAATGTCTGTGTGTCTTATGAAGCGAATGCTGCACGGAGGAGGGCTTGCTTTAAAGCAGCAAAGCGGGACAGGAGCCGCTTACACGAGTGTAACGCAAGCACAGTGGGAGCCGTGTAATCCCTCTGCCCCCACGCTCGGCCGCCCCACTGGGATGGGTGCGCGCACGTGTATACCACCCCCTTAGGATGACGCTCGCGTTGGCGACGTCCCACAGGTGACATGCCGCCACACAAGACCCTCCCTCCGCCACTGGTCTTGCCAGGACAGTAGTGCCTTCCTTTGCAGAAATGTGAAATTTGAAGGGCGGCTGTGGTTTGGTCCTTGTGTTGTGTACAAAGGTGTGAATTAAGTAGGTGTGACTTTAAATGGGAATTGAATCAGATTTCTCCCTCATATGAAAGCCCCCAGAATTCTGCAATGAACAAAAAGGAAGATAGTCCCACTTCTTTTGGCTTTATTAAAATAATTGTGTAGGGCCAAACCATACAGTCCTTAGAACTAAGGGACTCATTGTGGGAAGCTCATATATTTCCATTGTCTGCCCCCCTTACTAGGGGATAAAGTCTCTCTTTGATAGTGATGATGGTTCTTAATGCCACTTTTGACTGCTGTTCACTTTACATGGTTGAAATATTATTCTGATATACCAGTAGTTTAGTCAATAGTTTAGTAGAACATTTGATTCAGAATATTTTTTTTCTTGTTTTCCTCCTCTAAAAATTAGGTGAATTATGGAGCGAAAAATACGGTAAATTCAATAAAAATTAATAATTAATAAAATACAGGCAGTGGTGGTGAGGAACAGGCCTTCCAGCAGTGGGCTGTGCTCCTCAGAGAGGCTACCTGGTGCCTACTTCAATGTCCTTTGGGTGCCAAATACCTTTTTCGTTTCCCCAGGCTTTGAAAAAGTGAAGCCATTGCTCTTAACAGCTATGGGCGTCCCTTTTAAAACCCGGCTGCAGACTGGAGCAAAATGGCCGCCATGCTGGTCCACGCTCCCAGTAAACCCACACCCAGCTGCCAGGCTAGAGAGTAAAAAGGTAAAGGTACCCCTGCCCGTACGGGCCAGTCTTGACAGACTCTGGGGTTGTGCGCTCATCTCACTCTATAGGCCGGGGGCCAGCGCTGTCCGCAGACACTTCCGGGTTACGTGGCCAGCGTGACAAACTGCATCTGGCGAGCCAGCGCAGCACACGGAAACGCTGTTTACCTTCCCGCCAGTAAGTGGTCCCTATTTATCTACTTGCACCCGGGGGTGCTTTCGAACTGCTAGGTTGGCAGGCGCTGGGACTGAGCAACGGGAGCGCACCCCGCTGCAGGGATTCGAACCGCCGACCTTTCGATCGGCAAGCCCTAGGCGCTGAGGCTTTTACCCACAGCGCCACCCGCGTCCCTTATAGGCTAGAGAGTAGGGTGCCCCTGTGGACAATGTGGCCGGCCAACAAGTCTGCATTCCCACCATTTTCATCATCAGCCTCTTCCCACCGTTTCCCCTGGGGCCAGACAAAATGGGTGCTCCCATCTGGGAGAAGCTGTCATTATCTTTGTTGTGGCCACCTGGAGTGTTTTTACCAAGTACAGCTTAAAAACCATGAAATAAATATATAAAAGCAATACGAAGATGTGGTAAACAATGATTACGAAGATAGTTATCTGTTGCAATACCGGTATGCTCTGCAATGACAAAATATCTGTAACTATAGAGCTTCTGGTTGTTGTTTTTTTTTGAAAACAGTAAGGCAGGTTCGCTGGAAGATGAACAGCTGGATATGCATCTAGCCAGGGGTGTCCTGACTTGGGCGATTTGTTCTTTCAGAGCCTATGTTCGTGAACTTCTTTTCTGACACTTATAGTCCACCAGTCTTCCAGGCCTGCTACATTTCTTACATTTATATTCTAGGCCTGCTTAGCTTCAGCAAAGAACCCTTCATGGGACCATGTGTTTTTCATACGTAAAGTAAAAAAATGTGTAGGTTCTGTTGGTATACAGTAATTATTAGTTGATTTTGAAAGTCAACTGAAAGTTGCAGCGTGTGGGCTGTGCATTCTCTGTGCTGCCTTTTAAGTAAAAGTCCATGCCCCCAAAAGCCTGAACTCTGCACGAATCTATTTTGCATTATTTACTCTGCCCCTCTTGATTATGCTAAGTGGCAAAGAACTCTGCACTCCATGGTTCAGTAGGAACTTTTTCAGAAATCACTTCTCCTTCTCCCCACAGATTTTTGAGATTTCACCAAAGATTGCCCACACACTAGAAATGTCGTGCGGTACCTGTTTAGAACAAGAAAGATGACTTATGAAAATCCTGTGCATGTTTACTTCAATGATAGTTCCACTGAGTTCAAAGGATCTTATTCCCAAGTAAACATGAACAGGATTGCAAGAAGAACAAGGAAAGCTGCAGAACATTCTTCTCAGGGTGCTGCATTTTGTACCAATTTCTGCCTACAGTGTGCTCTTGCAATTATAGAATACACAGAGAGCGAGAGAGAGAGGGAGAGTTTTGCATTCCTTAGTTGACCCACATAAATATATACATTTCCTCTACTTTGCAATACATCGGTGATACAGTGGTACCTCTGGTTGCGAACGGGATCCATTCCAGAGGCCTGTTTGCAACATGAAAAGAACGCAAACCACAGCGGCGCATCTGCGCATGCGCAGGTTGCAATTCGCCACGTCTGCGCATGACGTCATTTTGTGCATTTGCACCTGCGGCAAAACCCGGAAGTAACCCTTTCTGGTACTTCCAGGTCGCTGCGGGACGTAACCCAAAAGAATGTAACATGAAGCGGACATAACATGAGGTATGACTGTAATTAGCAAACATCTAAGTGCTTTTACCTTTCGATCTCCCTCTCTTTGAAGATATCGACACAGAGTGAGGCATGGGGATTCCAAGCACAGTACGGATCTCTTGCCAGGACGCAGTCCACACAGCTGGTGTATTTGTCACAAAATGCAACAGGAGACTGGACTACTCCAGCGTTGGACCCGGCATAGAGATATTGCTTGCCCTGCAGAAAGAACATGGGGGGAAAGTTACAACTTACTTTAGCATCTCGCAGGAACAGTGCCTTTGGGACAGTCCAGGACAGGCTACAAAACCCCAGCAGAAATGACTGAATTCAACAGCTGCTTTCCCTCCACTCCACCTCAATGGGACAGTTGGGTATTCTTACTGTTCTGGTATCTCCCCCCCCCCCGGCCCAAATTCTTACTCAGTCCTACCTTTTTCGAAGAAAGTAGCAGAGTCTGAATGGGCTCAAAGTTTGGGAAGAGCTGCGTTTCTTCAATGATATGCATTCCGTTTTCGTAGCCAATGGCTTTGTGAAGGGCTCCTCGGTCTGAAACAAAAGGGCCACACTTTGGTATATGTAAAAATCAAAATACAACACCAACACACACAGACTACAGTCTGATGTTTTCACCCTAAGGCCCCTGCTTCCTTCCCCTCGTGCCTTTCATTGTGTGTTTCACTACACAGCTACCCAACCTTGAGCATTTTCATTCTCTATCCAACTTTCATTTCATCCTTTAATTCCATTTCTTCTCCTAAACTGCAGTCGTTTCACCCCTTCTGAGCAGTTTGCTACCAGGACATGAGCTGGATTCTTACACTTTGGCTGTAAACTTCTTCTTCCTCTTCTTTTTAGTTAAACACCACCCTTTTTTAGACTAACCTTGGAATCCAGCGACGTTTAAGGTACAAGCTCCCTCAGCCCCAGAGAGCATGGGAAACAGCAAACCTAGGCGCTGTGGTCCATAAATATATGGGGGCCCAAGGCTTCGGAACATTATGGACTACAGTGGTGCCCCGCAAGACGAATGCCTCGCAAGACGAAAAACCCGCAAGACGAAAGGGTTTTCCGTCGCGGAGGCGCTTCGCAAGACGAAGTTCCCTGTGGGCTTGCTTCGCAAGACGAAAACGTCTTGCGAGTCTCGCCATTTTTTTCGCTCCCCCCCCCCCTTTTTCAAAGCTGCTAAGCTGTTAATAGCCTTTTAACAGCTTAGCCGCTAAGCCCGCTAAGCCGCTAATAGCGCTAAATCGCTAATAGCGCTAATCCGCTTAGCCGCCAATGGGGTTGCTTCGCAAGACGAAAAAACCGCTAGACGAAGAGAATCATGGAACGGATTCTTTTCGTCTTGCGAGGCACCACTGTACTCAAAGGGTAGACAAGCTAAGAGTGATGCATAAATGTTCGCCCGAGAGATGTCATACTTGGGTGAGGAAATTATTCTTCAACTTGTTCTTTAATCAACATAATGTTAAATGATTTCATTACAATGCTGGTCTGATAGAGTCATTTATTTATTTTTAAAAGTACAATCCACCTTTGCTTGGAAAGAAAAATTAAGCCAACTAACAACTGGCAATTAAACAATTGCTTTAAAAGGGGGGGGGGAAATCACAGAAACAATTACTACACAATTAAACAAAACCACATGCAAACAAAACTAAGGTAGCAACACTAAGCAGCCATTACCAAAATCTTTACCACATAAAAAGTGAGCAATTCTGAGGGAATTTCACAACAGTGGTGCCATGACTGAAAAGGCCTTTTCTCTTGTATCCAAGCTGCTGAAGCTCAGAGATCTGGGTGTAGAGGAAGGTTTATATGGGAAGAGGCAGTCATAAACGTATCGAAGTCCTGGGCCATTTCGGAGCCTCAAAGGTTTAAAATGCAGGACTCTGATTTGCAAATGCCGTATTTTTCGCCCCATAGGACGCACCGGCCCATAGGACGCACCTAGTTTTTTGGGGGGGAAATAAAGGGGGGGAAAATTATTTCCCCCCAGGTGCGGGGCTAGCGGAGCGCTGCGCGAAGCCCCAAGCTTGGGGCATGCTGAGCTCAGCGCGCCCCAAGCTTCTGGGTGCCGGCAAGTCTCCCACGGCTAGCGGATAGCTTCCTGAGGCCTGGAGAGCGAGAGGGGTCGGTGCGCACCGACCCCCCTCGCTCTCCAGGCTTCAGCGAAAGCCTGCATTCGCCCCATAGGACGCACACACATTTCCCCTTCATTTTTGGAGGGGGGAAAGTGCGTCCTATAGGGCGAAAAATACGGGATATGTGTTAGCAAACTAGTTGGCTGGCGTTAAGCCCCTATCTCACAGGCAATTTTTGCCAGTCTTAGAATCCAGGATGCTCTGAATTGCAACAAATATGTAGCTCACAAGACTGGCTCAATGAGCTGAAAAGCCACCTTATCATAGTGCGATGTCGTCCAGTTCTCAGAGTGCAGAAAGCTCACCTGTGCTGATGAACATGACATCATACAAAGTGCCGTTCAGGGCCTGGACTCGGTCTACCACAATCTGTGTATACTTCACATCTCTCTTCACCAGTCGGGGCCGGTCTCCAATTGGGGCCACAGAGTCATCCATCAGAGGGTGGTCTTTGACAAACTGCAAGGTTTTGTCGGGTAAGTTGAGCGTAGTCGTGATATTGTCTGCTCTGGCCTCTTTGTTTATACACTGTCCCAAGAAGAATGTATGTCACATGATTAATGAGGGCTTTAAAAAGGAAGAGCAACAGATTACTAATAAGCAAGATTGGGAAACAGTTCTAGAACAGTTAAAGCATCATTTAAAATAAAAACATTACAGCTGCTACCTTTTAAAATATGTATTTATTCACCGTGGGATAAGCCAGATTCATATCTTTCTTTTAAGCAGAGGTGTGCTCATTCCATTGACAATCAAGAAATAAGCAAAGCGTCTGCGAAGTTTGTGCAGTCTCCTTCCATGGAGGCCTCTGGTATTTGTCTCAAACATTATCTGATTGTATGAAGCAACAGCCATGTATGGCAAAAACATAACAAGGAGGTTCCCAGAAGTGGATAAAATTGTCTTAAACCGTGCAAGTACTCTTTTGTGCAAGCTTTCACTTTATCTTGAAGTGGAAGAACATCTGTTCTCAGTGGCTAAAATATATCTTGATGATACATTACATGGATTTTGGTCTTCTTGCATAGTGCAGTTGTTTTGTGTACAGTAGTACCTTGGTACTCAAACAGCTTGGCTCCCGAACAAATTGGCTCCTGAACAGCACAAGCCTGGAAGTGAGTGTTCCGGTTTGCGAACCTTTTTCAGATGCCAAACGTCCAGCGTGGGTTCTGATTGAGTGCAGAAAGCTCCTGCAGCCAATCGGAAGCCGCGCCTTGGTTTACGAACAGTTTCAGGAGTCGAACGGACTCCCGGAACGGATTAAGTTCAAGAACCAAGGTACCACTGTAGACTGCATTCAGATTTTACTATTCAGCACATTTTCTTACCGGATTCTGAATTGCGTAAGTAGCTTGCAGCCAACTGTTAAGTGTGAAGACCTCCTCACGTGGTTCAGGTCACTCCTAACCATGCCTGGGACTCCCACCCCAAGGAACAATTTGCCTTGCGTGAATAGGATTGGTTCAAAACATATGGGCTATCATTTACACTGATAGCTTTGTGGACTCATGCCATGCAAGCTGAGGTCCTGGAAGCATCCACACCGCACAGGAACATGTGAATGAGGCCGCTGGCAAGCACCCCAACACCTGCTAGGGGATAGAGGAAGCTGCAAATCTAAAATAGCAACCGACTAAACTAGCCAACCCATATTCTCTATGGGTGTGTTTGCAAGGAGCTTCCTGTGGCAAACTGTAAAAGAGGAGTATGTCATGGGAGTAACCATTGCCGGCATTGGGTTGTGTAGGCATCACACACCTGCTGTGCTGGTCCTCTCCATCTGCCAGGAAGGGATTAGCACAGCTGGGGGGCCCAGAGGCCCTGAATGAGTGCATGTGGCACAGGAACATTTGCTTATTATGAACAGGATCGTAACCAGCCCTCAGTTTATTCAGACTTACCGCTCCAGGCCGGGGTTTAGGAATCTCTCCGTTGTATCGCAACCATTTTGTGTGGGACTGCTCAACGGTCGCGATTTGCATGTACTTCCCTTTGGCAAAAACATCCTCCACTGTCGAGATGTTGTAGGCACAAACAGCTGATAGCCCGACGTTGTTCCTTAAAACACACCCCAAGGAAACCAAAATCAGCAACTTGTTTCACACTTCCTCAGAAACAAACACTTCCAAGTGTTCAAGCGTTACTTACAATTGTGGGGAGAAAACCCCGTAGATCACTGGCTCCTTCGAACTTGGAGTCTTCAGGATGAAGACATCATTGACAACGTTGAAAAATAAATTTTTCTCTGGTACAGAGCAAAGCAACCTGGCCTTGAGATAGGATGTCCATTTTTTCTGTAAAGTTCTGTGTCCACCTTGATCCCCCTTTAAAAGAAAAATGCATTCAAAAGTAAGCAGATGCCTTTTCCAGAGTATACAGAATTCTGCTACATTAAACTGAATAATTGCAACCAATATTTCAAGTATAGTTGTATGGACAAATTCGCCAAACAAGGTGGATTGAGATTAGCATTAAGAGGTTACTATTAGCACATATAACCTGTGAGATAGCTAAATTCAGTTCTACATTGTATTGTGTGTTGGCCCATCTAGTCTAGCTTCCAGTTCTTGCACTGACCAGCCAGATGCCTTTGGGGAACCTGCAAGCAAGTCCCGAGTATAGCAGCACTGTCCGCACTTACAATTCCTAGTAGCTGGAATTCAGAGGAATACTTCAATTCAATAGATTTTATTGCGTTAGCCGATGTGGCCATAGCATGATATACATAGAAATAACAACATAAAATGGGGGTGGGGAGATAAAAGGTAGAATATCGTCCTGGGCGAGTACTTAAAGAAAGGGGGGGGGGAAGGGGGATAACAAAAGCGACAGGGATTTTAAAACATCGAGTGACAGATAGTACAAAAACAGAAAGACAAAAAACTGCTGAGGCTGGCGGAGGATCATTAAAGGGTCCTTCGGCTCCTCAGATTTGTTCCTAGCTCCATTGTCCTTGTTGGATTACCGAGGAATACTGTCTTCCACAGGTGAGGCAGAACATAGCCTTATCCTCCATGGATTTGTCTAGCCCTCTTGAAAATATCCAAGTTGGTGGCCATCACCACCTCTTGTAGGACCAAATCCCACCCTTTAAGCATGGACTGTGTGGAGAAGTCTCCACTCCTGGACATAAACTGCAGACACTTAGGGCCTCAATACTCATGTGTCAGCTGGTTCAGCTGCAAATCAGCAGAGAGACTCCAAGACGAACAGTAAAGTTGATTCTTTTTTCCCAAGGAAACATAATACAAACAGAGAAGCCTACGGTGAGACTGTCTGCAGGTAAAGCAGTTGCCAGAACTGATGATCTGGGCCTCCCACTTCCCCCTAAGTCTGTTCCCCATCCAGCTGTTTTCCTGGCAATCTTAAACTCTGTTAGGGGACGGGACTTCTTGCACTCTTTGTTCTGCTACATGCAGAAGTCTCTAAGCCCTTGGAGACAAGGAGCTGAATACAGTAGGACTGGCAGGCTCTCGTGAATCTGTTCCAGTCTCAACCCCACACCTCTTCCTCCGCTGCCTTGTCCTACGTCTGCAGTGCTTTCTGCCTCTCCTTCCTCTCTCTCACTCAAGCCTGTTGCTTGTTCAGCATCCAACCATTCTGCCCCCCACTCCAGCCTCTGACCTGTCTTCCATGTCCCACCACCACTCCTCTGGCTCTGAGCCTTCCTTCTCTGAGGTTCCCCTAGGGGGTTCTACAGCTGCAGCTCCCACCATTCCTCATTGTCCGGCCAGTCCCTGACAACATGTTACATTCATGGTCTGGGGACTGCTGCAGAAGCTATCCCTGTGAAGGGAGTGTCACCGTTCTGGGTTATAGCTAAAGGTAAAGGGACCCCTGACCGTTAAGTCCAGTCGCAGGCGACTCTGGGGTTGTGGTGCTCATCTCGCTTTATTTTCCGAGGGAGCCGGTGTACAGCTTCCGGGTCATGTGACCAGCATGACTAAGCCGCTCCTGGCGAACCAGAGCAGCGCACGGAAACGCCGTTTACCTTCCCGCCGGAGCGGTACCTATTTATCTACTTGCACTTTGATGTGCTTTCGAACTGCTAGGTTGGCAGGCAGGACCGAGCAACGGGAGCTCACCCCGTCACAGGGATTCGAACCACCGACCTTCTGATCGGCAAGCCCTAGGCTCTGTGGTTTAACCCACAGCGCCACCCGCCTTATGGGAGGAACGCCCAAATCTACCCAATGTCAGCATTACACCTCCCCAAAATAGAGCAAACGCCAGTTTGGAGATCAGCTAATGAGTGGGCTCCCTTCCACCACAGTGGAAAGAGCCATGCTTACCAATCTAAAAAATGTAACCTTCATCCAGCAAAGAATGAATTTTAAGTGCGAGCCTCTTATGGGTGAAATATACATTAAGCATTAAAATACCAACTGTGCTCTCCCAACTTTTGCCATGTCTGCACTTTTCGAAGAAAGCAGATGTCTTAATATGAAATGCATTCGAGGTAAGCAAGGATTTTATTTTTCATCGAGGCGGTTTCAAAATAATGGTAGGCAATTTATTTTCCTATGTAACAAAAAATGCACATATTTTCCTCCTCCAATCTATATATAGCTCTGCATAAATCGTTAAGAATGAGAACCCAGTCACTTGACTGCAATAGTGCCGGTTAAAAGCAATGACAGACAGTCAGCAGACGAGAGGACCATCACAACCACGCCAAAGCTGATTTACTTCAAACTACAGAGATCTCATAAATCTTGCAGAGTGTATCAGGTTCTGTTGCTTAATTACATCCAATGAGTTTTTAAGCATCTGGTTTTAAAATGCAACCTCACTGCCCCTGGAGATATCTATCTATCTATCTATCTATCTATCTATCTATCTATCTATCTATCTATCTATGGCAGGCAGCATGCTCAGTAAATGTTTCTGGAAATTTTGCAAACGTTTAAAAAAATTTAACCTTGTTTCACATCAAGAGGTTTCCCCCGAAGCCAGGCAGCTACTATTATGTTTAAAAGGCATGAGAACGACAGAATTAGGGCTGGTTGCAATCGTTTTCTTCCAGGCTATGGCAGCTAGCCACCTGTCACATCACAGTCAAGCAAGAAATTTTCTTGGTGTGAGAAAAATGTTGGCTTTGTCTGGTACCCTTTAGAAATGCGTCTGGCATAGCTCAGGCATCCGGCTTCCCTTGAAATTACGATGGCTAGAATTCAATCGACAGCTTATGAGTGATGCGTGAAGCGAACGAAGCGGGGGAGTATAAAGAGTTCTTGGTCTCTCTTTTTTTAAAACTAAGAAAATTAATTTCCACCATCATCTGATAATGGGAGCAACTCGGTTTCCCTTACTGACACAGAATGAACCAGTTTTTGAATGCAGAATGCAATCTTGAATCCTTTTTCTTCTTCTGAAGTCTTGCTAAAGCTATGTCCACATGGAAGCATCCAACATTCGGGGATTGGAGCTACGGTGGTCTGTTGGAAGCACTGTCAAAATCTTGAGGAATGGAAAGACTCTCCTCCACGGAAAAAGCTCTGGACGCACAAAGGACACACAGAACCATGCAGACTGCTCTGTTCATGCTAGCTGAGGGACATGCGCAGTGAACCCAAACCACCAGGGGAAGGGGCGGGGAAGCAATATAAACAACATGACAACATCTTGGGATCGAAAGGGCCACAACTTTGTTCATTGCTTTGGCATAGGCACTGGGGATGTGTCCTGAATCAGCCAACCCAATTGCTGGCTGATTACTTTATCAGGGTTGATTCGGGTTAAGGATCCCTCCCATGACACACATTAAATGTGGTTGATCTCTCCAGGATGCCATTTGAAGAGTTCTATGGCCCATTTGCCCCTGTCAGGGCATTCGGACAGAGTCCTTCTCCCTAGAGGCCTTTACCTAAACTTCTTGATAAGGAAGGGAGTTAGGCTCCTTGCCACCTGTTCTGCCTAGACCGAGGATCCATGCCAATGCCTTTATCTGCCAGTAAGCTGTGAAAATTGCTGTGAAATAGGTAACACCTTCAAATGTGGTCCACTTTGTCCCGAGGCAAATTCCTTCCTGGCGCCAAATATCATCGACAGAGTAAAAAAGGTAAAAGCAGTGCTTTTTTCTAGGGGGACGCATACCCCTAAACATTTTGTGAATCAAAGTTTGACCTCATTGAGGGGGAGTATTTGAATATGAGTAGGAAAATGAGAGTACCCATTAGCATTTTTTAAGAAAAAAAGCACTGGGTAAAAGGTAAAGGACCCCTGGATGGGAAAGTCCAGTCAAAGGTGACTATGTGGTTGCAGCACTCATCACGCTTTTCAGGCAGAGGGAGCCAACATTTGTTCACAGACAGCTTTCTGGGTCATGTGGCTAGCAGGACTAAACTGCTTCTGGCACAACGGGACACTGTGACAGAAGCCAGAGCGCATGGAAACGCCGTTTACCTTCCCACCGGAGCAGTGCCTATTTATCTACTTGCACTGGTGTGCTTTCAAACTGCTAGGTTGGCAGGAGCTGGGACAGAGCAACAGGAGCTCACTCCATGGTGGGGATTCAAACTGCCAACCTTCCAATTGGCAAGTCCAAGAGGCTCATTGGTTTAGACCACAGCACCACCTTTGTCCCAGATAAACACGCACACAGTCACCATTGTGAGGCTCAAAGCAATGAAGCTGATGCCTCCCCAGCTGTTGCCATTGGCTGTGGGTTTTTTGTGATGTCACAAAAGCACTTGGCAACTGAGTGGATATAAAGGCAGGCCAAGGGCAAAGCCCTTTTCTGTTTCCAGCAGGACACACCTGGCCATGGATGTGACATTCAGCATTGCCCAGGTTTCTTCCACTTGGAGGAGGCAAAGTGGTGAATGGAAGGAGGCAATCCTCTGGCAGTGGGGGCTAGGGAGCGATAATAAGGCAAGTTTGCTTGCTTGAAGGCTACTGGTATCAGTGATTAGAAGCTGGCGGATGTCTCATGATGGACCTAACAGTAGCTTCTGGCACAACAGAATACCATGACGGAAACCAGAGTGCACAGAAACACCATTTACCTTCCCGCCACAGTGGTACCTATTTATCTACTTGCACTGGCGTGCTTTAGTACTGTTAAGTTTGGCAGAAGCTGGAACAGAGCAATAGGAGCTCACCCCGTTGTGCAGATTCCAACCACCAACCTTCTGATCGGCAAGCCCAAGAGGCTCAGTGGTTTAGACCACAGCGCCACCCACATCCCCTGAGTGACAGAGTAACTCCATAGCAAGGCACTGCCCGCTTACCTTTGGGCAGGGCCATAACATGTAAGGTGAGCAAGTGGGATGTCCACTGCCAATTGTGCTGCTGGAAGCAGCCTATTAAAATACACGGGACAGACCTGAGTGATAGCTGTGGTTCAGCCTGGCACGCCTCAAAAGTACCGCCCCTTAAATTGGCTGCGACTGGCCAGTTCAAATTTAATTGGTAGAGGATCCCACTGCCAGAGCAGCAAGTCGTCTCTCTGTAAGCCTGGACATCTGGAAATATAAACTGCACATCTGGTCTACAGTGATTGGGGGGGGGGGACTGCTAGCACACAAAACAGTGAGAGTGCTGTTTCCTCTCACCCCAAAATTATAAGGAAACAAGGGGGAAATGGTTCAGCTCATTCTCACCTTACAAACTCTGGCTATCCTTGGAATCATCAGCTTGCCAAGAAATTCATATTCCACAGAAACCTCAGTGAAAAAGAAATACACTTTGTCGTCATCCTCATCGGCACTGTTTGGATCAGCTCTTATCACATCGGCAAAAATGAAATTTGGTTCTAGAGAAGTGAAATACAAAATTGCTTAATTTTAATAATTTTCCCCACCTCTCAATATTTCCTGTTAATTACTCATTGTGGACATTTTATATACACACACGGTAGCTGTTCCCTGGTCCAAATAGTATAAGATAACCTAGATCTTTACTGTAGCAAATATTACAATTTCTATATTTCACAAACCCTTCAATAAAATTTGTATTCCAAAAGAGCTATTTTTGAGATCAAGATCCAAACACACTTTTAAACTGAGAAATCTGCTCTACAATTCCTTGAATTTTTGGTGCAAGTATTTAGACAGCCACATAAACAACAAACACTGCTCTTATGGAATAATCCTTGAAGGAATCCTGTTAAGTTATTACAATTCAGCACTGACTTACAGGAAGAGGTTGTTAGTCCATATTGCATTGTCATTTCCGCCACCCCCCATCCCCTTTTAAGAGCATCTTAAAAGTCTCCTGATAATCGAAAATCAAATAAAGGATAAACCAAACCACAACACAGTTTCTTCAAGCTGCTTTAATGGATTTCATGAACTAAACCTAAGCTGTTTAACAATTTCTGTTATTTCAAGAGGCGTATAGTCTCCAACCCAGACAGAAGACTGAAACAATTGTGTATTTCTTGGGGAATGGCAGAAGAAAGAGATCTTTCTGGCTTTGGAAACGTACAAAAGGAGTACTATTTCGGTAAAGAGATTACTAGACAGTACATTTTAGGCACATTCCAACAAATGTTTATTTCCCTCTCCAGATCTTACCGTTAAGCCAAGGAATTGCATATTCTGTCCGTAAAGGATTTTGCAAAGAGTTCCTTGAAATAATTGGTTCACTTCCCAGGAAGTTGTAAGACGTTCCAGAGTAAAGATCCCCATCTTTGCAGCAACAAAGGATTACATGGATTAAAAATATATAGTAGTATTTAGCAGTATTTTTTCAAACTGAATGATGCCATACGCTCCTCCTATTACATCTTCCATCCCCTCCCAACCTCTCCCTCCTGCCTGACACCTGCTTGCAGAAGGCCTGTACTATATTGCTATATTCCCAGCTGCCAGGCTCCAACACACCTCTCCTCCCTCTCTACGTTCAATGAGCTAAGTCAAATTACCTGTTGTGTACGGTCTCCACTGTACCATTATTAAGATTTAATTCAAAAATTACTCCACTGGATGGGCATTTAGTGCTGACCCAAATGACATTGGTTCAAATGGCTTTTAACCAAATTTGATAGATTAAGAAGCAGAGGACAAGATGGCTGACAAAGATTATGTGTCTGGTCATAATGGGAGGAGGAGCTTTTAACAAAATACTGGGGTAAATAGGAGTGGCTCAAGAAAAAGGAACTCAAGATATTAGTACTAAGCATAGGGTCTTCTTTGGATGCCAGTTCTTCCTATAACAAGATACAGAAACAGCAGGAGGTTTGTACTTACCAACCATAACTGATGTATAACTTTGTGCCGGATCAAATGGACACCTTCCTTTGCCATCATCGTTTCTACCCACAAGTTTAAACGATGTCAGGTTCTACAAAACAAATTAAAAAACCTCTTCTTTACTTTCCACATGGAATGCAAACAACCACAACCACAACTCAGCATACAGCCATACCTCGGGTTGAAGTACAGTGGTGCCCCACAAGACGAACGCCTTGCAAGACGGAAAACCCGCTAGACGAAAGGGTTTTCCATTTTGGAGGCACTTCGCAAAACGAATTTCCCTATGGGGTTGCTTCGCAAGACGAAAAAATCTTGCGAGTCCCCGCGGGTTTTTTTCGCTCCCCCCCCTTTTTCCTAAGGCGCTAAGCCGCTTATCAGCTGTTCCGCTGATAAGCCGCTTAACAGCTGATCGCGAAAAGCCGCTAGACCGCTGTAGCGCTAATCCGCTAAGCTGTCAATGGGCTTGCTTCGCAAGACGAAAAAACCGCTAGACGAAGAGAATCGCGGAACGGATTCTTTTCGTCTTGCGAGGCACCACTGTAGCTTAGGGATGAATGTTTTCAGGTTGCTCTCCGCGGCGACCCGGAAGTAAAGTGGCGCGTTACTTCCGGGGTTTCACCGCTTGCAAATGCGCAGAGCCTCAAAATGACATCACACGCATACGCGGAAGCGGCGAAACGCGACCCGTGCAGACGCGTCTTACGTTTACTTCAGGATGCGATGGGGCTCTGGAACGGATCCCATTCGTATCCAGAGGTACCACTGTATAGCTCTGAACACTTCAAACCAACCCTTTCAGTACGATTAGAGATACAAACTCATGCAACCACTTTCAGCTCTATCTTTTTTACATTAAAGTCAACCTGGTGGAATAACCGCAATTGTTACATGACGTTTCCAGATTTCAGCTTATTACATTCAGGCCCATGACTTAAGCAACAGATGGGTGAAATTCAATCTTTAGATATGCTGAGGCAATTTACGGGCCTGGTTCAGTACACAATGATTTCTACACATCAAAACGAAGCTGAAAATAGTTGTGAGAATCAGCCCTCTGTCCCTTTGTTACGCATAAGAAGCAGGCACTTATAAAAGAAATGTGCAAAATATAATGCTTGTGATCTGGGGGCGGGGGAGACTTAAGTCTTTAAAGCCTGTGGCAGTTCCAATGAGATGAAATTAAGGTTGTGCTTAATTAATGCTGGACTGCACGTATTTTTAAATGAAATATTTATTTATCAGCGGCATGATATTGCTATACGAATGAATTAATAAAACCATAAAGCGCAAAGTGCCAAAGATTATGATTTGGTGGCATAGGAAAAATCTCTGTAACACAAAGTACTTGCCTTTAAAAAAAAATTATAACCTGGTGCTGTTGCTTCTCCCATTGCACATACAGGCACATATGCATGGAAGTTGTCCCCTGAAACATATGTGAGGATACTATGGGATTGTGGGGAATGACAAATGAGGACAAATGAGGAATGAAACAAATGAGGACTTCGGCGTGTTATCCTGGTGTGCTAATACATACAGAGGAGCCAGCAGGAGGGAAGGAAAACATGGAGGTAGGAAGACAACACAGTTTAGATAGCCAGACATACATTAGGAAAAGAACAGAGAGATCAAGCAAGCAGCAGAAATAAAGTAGATTGTGTCATGAAGAGTGACTGCACTTGGACCATCTTCTCTTGGCTGATTAAGCAGTTTTATGCATGACCCTTTCACCTGCAAATGCCTTTGTGCCTTCTATTGAGGTGTGCACCATTGAAACCAGGAAGTCACTAATCGGCCTAATTGTTTTCTGAAACTGTGTATTTAAATGTCAAAAGCTGCCCTGAGTGGTACATTTGCACAAGATGGGGAGAAATAAAATAAATAAAATAACCATTGTAATTTGTACAAATTGGGAAACTGTGGTTACCAGCTTTGATCTATTAAATCACAGTTATAAGTTAGTTTAATATTGTTCTGAAGGGGGTGCCACAGTGTCCGAATTAAATGGGAAAGTTCCTGGTTTAATCATGAACAGATACATGCGCTGAGATATGGGCCAGTTGAGTTGGATGAAGAATTCTTGAGTGCCAGAAATGTCTCCAGGAAAATGGAAATGAGAAAAAGCCAGTGTATAGGTGGCAGCTGAGAGTAGAATAAGCTTTCTCTTGCCAGAAAGTGCCAGTATACTAGCCAAAACAGTAAAGAACTATTCTGATGGAAGATAAGCTTTTTAAAAGGATGAAATTGCATTAATGTAATTGAAAAGTGATTAATGTGTAAATAAGGAAGCTGGCTGTGGCAAGGCCAAGAAAGGACAAATTCTGGCAACGTTGTGGAAAAGATGATAGACAGACTTACAGATAAGGGAGACAAGAAAGGTCACAGTCTAACGTCAAAAATCCTGTTCTTGGGAAGAAAGTAAGGTCCGAGTGAAAGGAGAACGATGGTAGAGTCAAGAGACATGGAAGGTAGACAGAGGTGGATTTTTAAACGCAAGGAGGACTTCATTCTGAAGTATTCAAGACTATGAGGCTATGGCATAGCCAGGAGCTGACAGAGACAAGACAGGCAGAGAAGGGAATCAGAGTATTTAGGGAGAGACACAAAAGGGATGTCAGTCACACAGAAAAGTTGGAAAACTTATGTACATGTCTGTGTCCTTTCATCACCCAGTTCAGGAAAACTGCTTCTGCAGTTGCCCCTAAAAGAAAAAGTGTTCTTCCCACTTACCAGATGATCACAGATGGGCTGAAATGCGTTAGTTCCACATACATAAAGTGAAGTATCATCCAGCTGTTGCAAGACACGGACGTAGTTAAGGCACTCTGTCTGTAAAAGAGAAAAGGTGGAGGAAAATACTGAGATTTCAGAAAGTGCAATGAGAATAAGAAACCCTGTAAGCGACTTGCATGGCTTCAGACCTATACACACAAACAAGGTCAAGTCTTGGTTTAATTAGAAGAGATATGAACGATACTCACAGCTGTGCATGGATGCAACTGCTTTATTCTTCTCTTGCACAAGTGAGCAAACCCAGGAAATGTCCCATTAACTACAGTTTCCTGTTTCGTCTTGAATAGGAAACCGTGGTTGATGGCTTCAGAACAAGCCATTATAGTAAACCATGGTTTTAAGCTTCCTTAACATCCTGGCTTGTTCAGAAGCTGTTAACCATAGTTTCAGAGCTTTGGCAAAACGGAAAACCATGGTTAATGGAACACTTCTTGTTGTGTTTGCTAAAGGGGCTGTATGCAACAGGTTGTTCCTATTCTGGCTATGGACGTCTGAGCATGGCCAAAAGTTCACTCAAAACCCTGCTTGTTTTTCTCTAAAGCAGGGGTTCCCAAACTGGTCCATGGACAACCAGTGGGCCATGAACCTCATACAGGTGTTTAGCAGAGTGTTTGTAAAAATACAATTTAAGATCATATAGCGTCTAGCACAGGACATTAGAATTCCAACGAGAGGCAGAAAAATAAGTGGTCCATCAAGACCCTCAGCCTTCGTCAAGTGGTCAGGGGTGGGGCAGAGTTCGGGAACCAATGCTCTAAAGCAGGGATGTCCAACAGGTCGATCGCAATCTACTGGTAGATCCCCGCGAGGTTTTGGTAGATCACGGTTGATTTCCTTAGCATCGCTAAAAACTGACTCCTGCGTGCCCCCTCGCCCCTCCCTCCATTGTTATTTGATCTCTGGAAGGGAGGAAAGATTTTTGTGCTGCTGTTTTCATCCATAGCGATCTTTTTGTAAGTGACTTTACCCCTTTGTCCCTTGCCTTTAACCCCCCCCCCCAAAGCTTTTATTTTAACCCCTAAAAAGGGGGGCTTTTCTCCTCTGTAAAAAAAGCTCAAAAATTTATAGCTGCCCCCCTGGGGCTTTTCTCCTCCCCCAAAAAAGCTGAACAACTTTGAACTGAAACCCCCCAAAACGGGGGTAGATCACTGCCAGTTTTTAATTCTGAAAGTAGATCGCAGTCTCTTGAGAGTTGGTCACCCCTGCTCTAAAGCATACATGTTCAACTGGTGGACCGTGATCGACAGGTAGATCTCCAGGGTGTTCCAGGTTGACCTTGGATTTTAAAAAGGGATTGCCTGTGTTCTCCTGTTTGAGCGTGCCTTGCCCTGGCCCCAGCAGTCTGTCCCATCGCTGTGGAAGCTTGCCTTCCGTTATGCAGCTGCTTTGTGGATGAAGGAGTGATAACTGCGGGTTGTTGTGTGATCAACTCTTGCCAATCCTTCCGAAAAGAAGCTCAACAACTCTTGCCAATCCTCCCCCCAAAAAAAGCTCGACAACTCTGGTCTATGCTCCCAAGAAAGCTCGACAACTCTTGGCAATGACAACGGGTAGATCACTGCTAGTTTTATTTTACTGGGAGTAGATCGCAGTCTCTAGAAGAGTTGGACGTGCCTGATGTAAAGCAACAGCAACAAGGAGAAATGCTAAATAAGCTCATCCATCAATGAACTGCTGCTTCCCATCAAATATGTTGCAGCACAAAGCCAAGGCTGCTTGCAGTTATGGGAGAGGTTGGCTCTTTTTCACACTTGGTACTGCTGCATTTGAAGAAGGGAAGAAAGCAGCACTACCGTGCAGCAAACTATCAGCTCTACGTTTTTTATCATACATGCACACACAACCGTTCAGCATCATGACTTACAGGAACTAACACAGCAAAAGAGACACATTAACTCTGCTGAAGGTTTAATTAAAGGGGCATGGAAAATTAATTACTTCTGCAATACTACTAGGAGAAAAAAACACTTTCTTGAAAGTCAAGCTGATAAAGAGACAAGCCACAAACTCTTTTCACCTGTTTGGATTTGCCCTTTTCTGCACATTTCGTCTTCTTGTCTTCTGTGACCTTCCAAAACACCTGGAGGAAAACAGAACCAGGGTAAGAACAAATCAAAGGACCTTTTCAGTGCTCCCACAAAGAGCAATTAATATTACGGCGTCCCAAGCCATCCTGGGGCAAATGCAAGCAGCTATACACCTCTTTTTTTAAAAAAAATAATAATAATTCTGCTCTCTTGGAAATGGGACTTTTCCAAACACACCTGCAGTACTGGAGTTGGAGAACCTTAAGCACATATGTAAGATTACAGTAAATTACTTCAAATTATTCATTATGCTCCCCATGAATTGGATTTGCGTAGGAACTGTTTACAATCTATAGTGGTGCTTTGGTTCTCAAACGCGTTGGTTCTCAAACACCTTTGTTTCCAAATGCCAAAAACCTAGAAGCAAGTGTTCTGGTTTTTGAACGTTTTTCGGAAGCCGAACGTCCAATGAGGCTGTCAGCTATTGTTTCCGGGGCCCCTACACCAATCAGAAGCCGTGCCTTGGTTTTCAAACATTTCAAAAGTCAAACAGACTTCTGGAACGGATTAAGTTTGGCGCTTTTGTTTTTGCAAGTAGATAAATAGGTACCGCTCTGGCAGGAAGGTAAACAGCATTTCCGTGCACTGCTCTGGTTCGCCAGAAGCGGCTTAGTCATGCTGGCCACATGACCCGGAAGCTGTACACCAGCTCCCTCGGCCAATAAAGCGAGATGAGCACCGCAACCCCAGAGTCAGCCACGACTGGACCTAATGGTCAGGGGTCCCTTTACCTTTACTTTACATTGCGTATTGCTTTCATTTTATAGATTAATGGTCTTGTTAGATACTAAAATTCTTGTTAAATTGCTGTTTTAGGGGTTGTTTTTAAAAGTCTGGAATGGATTAATTCGTTTTGCATTACTTTCTATGGAAAAGCGCACATTTGGAACAACAGACTTCCAGAACGGATTAAGTTTGAGAACCAAGGTACCACTGTATCGGGCAAATGACAACCACTCCCCTTCCATCCAGCCATTTCCCAAACTGAGAAAACAATATAAGCAACAGGAAAGCAATAATATAAAACGAACTTGCATATTAAAGACTACGCAGCTAGAAAATGGCTGACAGGTTTCACCTGGTAAAAGCAGCTCTCTAGCTTTAAGCATGAATGTAGCAAGGGGATTACATTTTGAAGCCCTACAACAATGCATATTCAGATGCACTCCTATAGTTAAGAGAGGAATGAATCCTATTACTTTGAGCATGCATGTTTAAATTAATTAAATATTAATTAATTAATAATTGTATTATTTATACCCCACCCACCTGGCTGGGTTTCCCCAGCCACTCTCAGCACCTTCCAGCACAGCTAAAAACACAGTATGTTTGGGCTTGGGCTGCTGATCATGAATATTTAGTATACAAAACTGCATACTTACCTCTTGCTTTTTTTCAGTAATGTTCAATGCATTTAGCGCAAAGATCACTTCTCTAGCTCCTACGTACAAAACATCCTTATCTTCACTTAGCAACAAAGTTGAGTAGTTAAATATTTCGGGCTCTTGAAAATATACTAGATGAACTTCTGTTAAAATACAATTAAGGCAAACATTAATTCAAAATGCATTCATTTCAAGGCAAACTTTATTTACAATTGACTAAATAGTTGCTTGATTTCAAATCCTGGGCTAGATCCATTGATTTTGAGATCGTTAACTAAAGTAGCACAACCTAATGACTGGACATTAGTGGAATTAAAGGGAGAGAAAGCAATCCAAAAGCTTAAACAAATGCAAATTTGCTGCCCTGGAGGCCAGGATTGTACAAAGGGTCATTGGAATATTTGAAATGCGGTTCTTCCTGAGTGGGAAACAATGAAAAAATTGAGGGGGCCCTACGGTCAAATGATGTGTAGAAGCCACAGAATGATAATGGCTTTTATTAGGACCAACCTAAATGCCAAAATCTATGTGAGCTTTCCGTATCTGTTCATCAGGCTGGAAGATGATCAAAACTTGGGAGGAAGATGGAAGAAACAATGACCGTGTTGTCACTCAAATTCCACAATCTGAAGATGGAGGCAGGGGGAGATATGCAGGCGTAATTAATTCGCTATATTAGGTGCCAAAGGGATTTCACGATGTGAGGTGCTGGGGAGCTCAAAATGGCGGCCTTTTCCTTTTTTTGAAAATGTAACGTTGAGTAGACAGAAAGAATTGGCACGATGGGGTGGTGCTGTGGCCCCACTCTCCCAACAGCAATTTTGGTACTGCTGACCAGGGTGGGACAACAGCAAGGGAAGGGTTTTGTGGGTGCACAGCTGGCCTGCGATTGATGTATTGATATGTTGCTCAGGACCAGTATGAGGGGCAGACCGTGACGGCGGTGTATCGAAGGTGAAGCTGCCATCGCTCAACTCCCTCCAGAGGGGGCTGGTAGCAGAGGGACTCAGAAGCAGCGGCCGTTTCACCAGCGATATACCGTTGAGTGAGGCCGCCATCCCACTCTGCCCTCATGCCGGCGCAGAGGGAGAATCAAGGCACCAATACAGCTTGTTCCTCCCTCTGCTTCTTTAAACCGTTCGGCTGAGGAGCGCATGGCTGCCCTTGCCTCAGCCAAGCTGTCTTGCAGAGGCCCCAACCCACCGCCAGCTCGTGTGAGCTAGCGGCGAGGTGGGGGCTCCAAGTGTATCCATCCCCCAGCTGAGGGAGCCCCGATACTTCTCCAGCTCATTTCCAAGGCAGAGAAGCATGGGGCTCCCTCACTTGGGGGGCAGGAGGCTTCGTGCTCCCCAGAGGAGTAGCCCTAATCCATCTCCTGCTCAGCTGAGGAGCAGGAGGGTGCTTCCTCACAGAGATGAAGCGGTGTAGTAGAAGGCAGGGTTTTGAACATTGTGATATAGTAGTAGTAGTAGTAGTAATAATAATAATAATAATAATAATTTATTATTTATACGCCGCCCCTCTGGCTGGGTTTCCCCAGCCACTCTGGGTGGTTCCCAACAGAATATTAGGTAAAGATAAATGGACCCCTGACAGTTAGGTCCAGTCATGGACGACTCTGGGGTTGCAGCGCTCATCTCGCTTTACTGGCCGAGGGAGCCGGCATACAGCTTCCGGGTCATGTGGCCAGCATGACTAAGCCGCTTCTGGCGAACCAGAGCAGCGCACGGAAACGCCGTTTACCTTCCCGCCAGAGCGGTACCTATTTATCTACTTGCACTTTGATGTGCTTTCAAACTGCTAGGTTGGCAGGAGCAGGGACCGAGCAACGGGAGCTCACCCCGTCGCGGGGATTCGAACCGCCGACCTTCTGATCGGCAAGTCCTAGGCTCTGTGGTTTAAGCCACAGCACCACCCGCATCCAACAGAATATCAAGAACACGATAAAACATCAAACATTAAAAACTTCCCTAAACAGGGCTGCCTTCAGATGTCTTCTAAAAGTCAGATAATTGTTTATTTCCTTGACATCTGATGGGAGGGCGTTCCACTGGGCGGGTGCCACTACTGAGAAGGCCCTCTGCCTGGTTCCCTGTAACTTCACTTCTCTCAGTGAGGGAACTGCCAGAAGGCCCTCGGCGCTGGACCACAGTGTCCAGGCTGAATGATGGGGCTGGAGACGCTCTTCCAGGTATACTGGTATCGCCAGCTCGCGAAGTTTGCCAGGCAATACATTGCAATGTTGACAACTTGACATTGACCAGCCCTACTACACAGGTGGGAGCTCAGGATTTGGCTTGGCCTATGTGGTTGACCACTTGACCTCCCCCCACAACCAACTGTTCTATATGTGACAGTGATGCTGTTGCTGAGGGGAAGGGAAGCAGCAGTCCACTGTGCCAACTGCTTCTGAAAGTAATTTCTCAGTCAATCCAAAAAATAATGGTTCCTTGTGAGGCACAGGGAAGCATAGGAAAACAATAATTGGTAACTAACAATGAGGTAGCTGTTCTTCAAGGTCTCCTCATTAAATGCCAAGGAGTAACCAAAGGTGTAAATGCAGGGGCAGCAAATAAAATGTTGTTTACTATACAATGCCAGACTTCCAACTCTTGCTAGTATGTCTGAGTATGTCTTCCACTCCCACTTATTTCATTAAGTTGCTGTGCCAGTTCTGTAGATATCAACACTATTTTGCATTGGCTACACCAGGGTTTTCCAAACATGGGTCTCCAGTTGTTTTTTTGGACTACGATTCCCATCATCCCTGACCATTGATCCTACTAGCTAGGGATGATGGGAGTTGTAGTCCAAAAACAGTGAGAGACCCAAGTTTGGGAAACCCTGGGCTATACTGTATGGTGACGTAAAACAAGCCTTTAGTCTACTGCTACGGAGGATTTTGTATCAGCAAAGTACAGAACTGCTACTCTTTTATTTTATGAAACACTATCCTTACCGTAAGCTATGCTCTTACCTTTGTGTTCCCACGTAATCCGGGGCACTGGGCCAAACGCTGCTGCCATCCCAAGAAATAAACTCACAGCCCCATATAGAACAAGAGCCATGTTAAGTGTCCTTAGTCTATGAATGCAGATGGGCAACCACAGCAGCAAAAGTTCATTTGGCAGAAGAAACGCCTTTGGAGTTCAGAGGGTCTGCGAAGACATGGGCATCTTTATACTAAGCGCACGAGCCGTCAGTTCCTTGCGAGGGTGCTTCCGAATGCCTGCTATCTGACAGATCACTTCCCCCAAGAGGCATGCATTTGCCACAGCAGAGAACGGAAAAGATTTCTAGAAGGAGCCTCAGCAAAACCTCTACTTCTTAAGCACATGCTTCTGATCCGTTGGGTTGGTGTATAAAGCTGCAGAAATAAAAGGCAGAAGGAAGGAAGTTGTCAGATTTTCACAGTGGCTAATGATTTCCAAGCTACACTCTTTCCTTTGTTAAGAAACGTCCCCACAGCAAAGACTCTGGTTTTATAAAAGGAAACAGTGGCTCATTTTCAGAAATAGCCACAGGAAGCTATTAACAACCATAATTTTCCATGAGCTCTCATGATTTATATCTGTCATATCAATACTTGTAGACAAACGTTTTGGGGATATGGAAGGGAGACGTTGCATTTTTGAAGTTCAAGGTGTATTTTAAATATTTTAACAAAAGACTCAAATGGAACTATATATTGCCATGCAGAGGTTTCGGCTGCAGGCAGCTCGAGACGTTTCTGTGCTACCCATGGGCTTTCTGTAGGAGTTGTATGAATCCCAGGATATACTTCAAAACTATGAAGCATTAGATGGGAGTCTTAGATTCCCATCTGGGTGGGAATCTTGAAGGTCATGAAGTGAGCTTTGTGGCTAAGTGAGAATTTGAACTGTGGCTCCCATCTCTTCTAAAAAGAAAGGCAACTCTGAAAATTAATTGCCAAATGCGCTATAATCTACTGAATTCAATTTTTTGGTATATTTCACCAAATTTGCAAATTCAGTATATGACTCTAGACAGTGCTATGCATTTAGCTGAATGTTTTGCATGCCCATTCTGTGCAGAAAATGGACCGGACAGGCTTATGTTTGAATGCATGCAAAACTGTCCCTATTTTCTAATTATTTCAACCAAGTACCTTTCAGTGGAACTCTAGGCATGAGACTAACAGGAAGTCAGCACAGGTGCATAAATATATAGGATGGCAGCTTTAATGAGTCAGCTAGATTTATTGTGTCTGGGCAAATTATGTAACTTCTTTGTTCGAGCTATTCCAGTTCAATTTCTCATTTTCTGTCTACATAAAAGGTGAGCCAGCGGAAGAATGTAACCATGGCAACTAATAAGCACCGAGGGATCCTGACATCAAGACAGATGCTTACCAATACCTTTCCTGGGCCTTGTATCTAATATATATAGGAGATTTACAGTTTCACTGTGGTTCACTGGAGGTGAATACAGACCAGATGAACTTGGGACAGAGTTTGTTTTGGATTTTTGTTTCTCTTAAAAACCCTACCATTTTCTCTTCTGTGTTCTCTTCTTTTGACATGACCTGTGGCAGTCTTCTATGCATGGACGTATACCTATTTTGGACTGCACTGAGCTCTGTATTTGCAATTCTGAGCTTATGAATCAAGGTTGACAAGTCATCACAGCTATTGAAAGCCACCCCTGGCTCTATCTAATATTCCACCAGGATAATCCTACTGCGTCCATCTGGGTGACCCATTTTAATAATACTTGATAACTACTTAAGCTTCGCTATTTGCTTAGTTCTCAATTTATGAATATTTAGAACTGTAATTCCCAGCTGTAACAATCGTACTTCCCATTATTTAGCAAACATTCTTCTGCTTAGTAACTGCCAACCCTCATTTCTTTAAAATTCTGATCACTTGGAATTCTAGTAAATGGTCATTATCTTTTACACTCGGTGTTTCTAAGCAAATATTAAGTCATTCAATGCATTATTTTCTAAAAGAAGAGAATTGTTCATGTGTGTGTTCCTTAAATAGTATATTGGAATAGCCATTTACTGTTATTTGAAGCCAAAGACAAGTAGTGCTTATTTTATACAGCGTATCTTTTCATAGACTACAGTCCTACTTCTTTAGATGCCAGAGGTGCTGCTGGAACTGGAACTGTATACTTCTAAGAAGTATAAAGTCAATTTATTTTAACGACCATTTCAACTAATTAGTTTGCACCTTTGTTCAGGAAAAAAGTGGCGTACTGATGGGATAAGGCACTGCACAAAGGCCAATTTCTCATACAGCAGCAACTCAGGAAACTTCATATACAGTCGTACCTTGGAAGTTGAACGGAATCCGTTCCGAAAGCCCGTTCAACTTCCAAAAAGTTTGGGAACCAAAGCGCAGCTTCTGATTGGCTGCAGGAAGCTCCTGCAGCCAATCGGAAGCCCCATCAGATTTTCAGCTTCCAAAAATAGTTCGCAATTCAAAACAGTCACTTCCGGGTTTGCGGCGTCCGGGAGCCAAAATGTTTGAGAACTAAGCTGTTCGAAAACAAAGGTACGACTGTAATTCCTCTTTCCAAAATCATGACTAGAGTGAAAGGAGAGAAGTCGCTCCTACCGTCGCTTGCAGAGACATGAAACAGTTGAATCTAGCTAAATGAAGGGCAAGCAAACAAGCAAACCCAATGGCTAACCCTTCAACAATAATCTTATTTTTGCTTAGCTCAGTATGGTTTCCTGTGAAGGCATTTCCCCAACTTACTTTGCTTTCTGTTTTCTCTCTAGAGTCTACACTTGGGATTGATATCTGAGGATGGGAGGGTGACGAGGGACACCTAGAGTTAATACTACCTTCCAACCCACCCTGGAAGCAATCTCCCTAGCATGATTTTGTTGTCTCTGTTGACTAGTATAAGTTTGGGTAGTATTTATGGGTTGACTGTATGAGGTGGGCTGGATAACTTTTTCAGCCAAAGGGCTGCAACTCCACTTCTGGTGGCAGAGTGGCAGTTTCCCAGAAAGAACAATTGACCCAGCTCTGGTTTAGGCTGCAAAGCAGCACCAGAAAATGAGAAGGGAAAGTGCTGATAAACGAAAGACCTTCGTTGGCTCTCAGCACATTTCCGAGCACAATTCAAAGTATTGGTGTTGACCTTTAAAGCCCTAAACAGCCTCGGCCCAGTATACCCGAAAGGGCGTCTCCACCCTCATCGTTCAGCCTGGACACTGAGATCCAGCTCCAAGGGCCTTCTGGCAGTTCCCTCACTGCGAGAAGTGAGGTTACAGGGAACCAGGCAGAGGGCCTTCTTGGTGGTGGCGCCCTCCCTGTGGAACGCCCTCCCACTAGACGTCAAGGAAAGGCAGTCCTGTTTAGGGAAGTTTTTAATGTTTGATGTTTTATTGTGTTTTTAATATTCTGTTAGGAGCCGCCCAGAGTGGCTGGGGAAACCCAGCCAGATGGTTGGGGTATAAATAATAAAATTGTTGTTGCTGCTGCTGTTGTTGTTGTTGCTGTTGTTGCTGCTGCTGCTGCTGTTGTTAAGATGCATGTTGTATGTTGGGGGGACAAAATACATACACAGGTAGACCGAAAGTGCTCATCCTTGACGCTGTTTCCACTTCTGCCCCAGACCAAGAGAGATAAACTTATTTCTTTTCCTCGCCCAAACTCTTTTTGAGGAAAGGAATGGTGGCCTCGAACCCTCAAGTTGGGCTTTTATAGGTGGCATCAGCATCAATGAGGAGGATCTTTGTAATGGATATAATGAGCACTTCGTGCAGACAGGAGGGGCTGTTACCATCAACAAGGAAATAAGAGGAGATTGTGGACAGATGTCTAGTCTAGTGCCCTAATCTGTGAAATCACACCATTCTGGTGGAAACTGATAATACTACACAATTAAACAAAAGATTACATGTATGAGGTTGGACACACAGACTTGCAGTGAACATGAGGAAAGAAACCGAAAAGAATGAGCGTTACTCGAAGTTCTATTTGCAACAGAAACATTTAGACGATCACTTAGAAAGACACCCAACAGAAGGATAATTTTATGACAGGAATTCTGTTACACTATATAATCACCTGCCTCACATAATTAGAAATTAGACAGATGGATGGGGACTGTGTATATTTCTCTCTCAAAAAATATGCTTACATTTATTCTTTCACACGGTTCAATGGCAGCACTAATAATCTTTGTGCCGAGAGAAATTAGTATGTGTCACCAGAACATACAGCTGGTGCAGCCAGCAACACTATGTTAAAAAATGATATAACAGCTTCCAAAGTCGGGGGAGAGACACAATCACACAAACCAGGTCTTATTTTTAAAGGCACTTGCTAAAGTCAATTTATGACATAATGTTATGTTGAAAAATACCGTCCTGTGGCTTGAACCAAATACTAATGGATGGCAGATATGCAATGGCCACCATTAGGGAAACTTACATTGGTTTCATGCAGGAGTAGCTCAAGAGCTCAACTGAAAGAAGGCAAGCGAAGACCATCTGTTTCAGGAATGGGGGTCCCTGTTATTGCACTCCAACTCCCACCAGCCCCAGCTACCATGGCCGGTGGTCAGGAATGATGGGAGTTGTAGTTCAACAACATCTGGAGGGCTAAAGGTTCTCCATTCTTGGTCTGTCTATTCAAGGTTCCTGTTTTCTACAGAGGTCAAGAAAATGCCTTTGGAAAGTCCACAAGCCAAGGTAGGGCTTTCCTCAGCAGCTGGAATTTCAAACTTCTGAACCGGAGTCCCATTTAGCCATCGTAGCTATTTAGCCACTGGTAGACTTATCCTCCATGAGTTGGTCTAATCCTCCTTTAACCATCTAAGTCAATGGCCGTCACCACTGTGGTGGTGAACTCCCTAAGCCAGGCATGTCCAATCGTGATCTACTGGTAGATTCCCGGCTGATCCTGGTCGATCATGGGATCCTTATCGATCATGGGATTAAATAGAGTTTACTGAAAGTTAACAAATAAAAGCTGAAGAACTCTGGGCAATCCTCCGCAGAAAACAGCTCAACAACTCTGGGCAATCCACCCAACCTACGCATGCTCCTCCTCCCTCCAATGAGTAGATCACTGCCAGTTTTTTAATATTGGGAGTAGATCGCAGTCTCTTGGGAGTTGGGCGTGCCTGCCCTAAAAAGCAGAAGAAGAGTTTGGATTTGATATCCCGCTTTATCACTACCCTAAGGAGTCTCAAAGCAGCTAACATTCTCCTTTCCCTTCCTCCCCCACAACAAACACTCTGTGAGGTGAGTGGGGCTGAGAGACTTCAGAGAAGTGTGACTGGTCCAAGGTCGCCCAGCAGCTGCATGTGGAGGAGCGGGGAAGCGAACCCGATTCACCAGATTACGAGTCCACTGCTCTGAACCACTACACCACACTGGCTCTCCATTAATGCTTTGGATGGAAGTAGTTGTTTTGTTCTGTGCATTCTGAATCTATCACCAATCAATCTCATTGGATGAACTCTGCTTCAGCTATGATGGGAAAGCAAGAAAAAAATGGCCACTTTCTCAATGCCAAACCCCTTTCATATTTAGCTCTATCACACATCCTATACAGATTACAACTGGGATCTTGACACCACCAAAAGAGTACGCAAGCCTCACCATTCTGCACTGGAAGCTGATTCTACCCAATCCCTGGAAGAAGCAGCAGCAGATATTGGCTTTTCTACATGTTAGCATTCTGTGTGCAAGGAATTTTCGAAACAGAGATGGGGTGGGGGTATTAAAAAACGCAACACTCCTCCCGCCTGCATTCTCAACTGGCCCCAGTCTGAGGAACCTTGCAGGGCCTATGCTTGGCCTGCAGGTGTGCTCTGGCTTCGAGAAACATGGCCGTGCACGATTCACGGCTAGCCAATCAACGAAAAGAACCCGATTCCAACAGATCTACCCTTTTGCCTGTAAAGAATACTGCATATCTGCAGCATAAGTAAACAATACAATTTAAGCATTCAATCCGACAGTTGGCTGCTGCTTAATAAAATCCACCCGACAAACCATTTCTCTGCCAAGAGCTCGTTTAATGTGCCCCTTGGGGATGCGGAAGTACCATTTCTCAGGTATGCGCACCAAGCCCTACTGATGCGATCTGGGGCAGAAAGCCAAGAATATGCGCTTCACATCCAGTTCCACTTGGCTGCTAAGGAAAAGGTCTTTTGCCTGCTACAGTTATGCGAATACAGATAATAAGAGAATCTGGAATGCTTCCATCATGCCTTAAACGCATGGTTATTTTACTGAAAGGGTCTTTTGTGAAAATGGGTGTGTCTCAATATGCATCCCATTTCCAGTGCTTGTTTCCAATTAAGTAGCAACATTCGCTTGCAAACAAAGCATGCTGAATTGGGTGAGTATGAAACAAATGTAAATGAAGATTAAGGTTGTTAATTTAAAGCTGCTGTTTAGACACAAGCCCCATATAAAAATCTATCTACATCATTCCAAATGCAGCAAATAGTTTAAAACTTCTACTTTTTATTATTATTCATTTCATTTCTATATTTTTAAGGGGGAAAATCTCAAGGCAGTTTACAACCTACATTAAAACATGCATGTGTTTGTAAAAATGTTGCTGATTCATAACTGGTACAACTACGCATCTCCATGCATTTTCAAGCACTTTCGGCCAAAATATTTTATATACCACCTTTCAAGTCCAGTTCTCAGGGAAACTTACAGATATAAAGCAGTATCACATGTACAAACAACTTATAACAGAATTTGCCAATAGTAGTCGGAGCTGTAACAGAACCTAATTTATCAACCACTTAGAGCCTGTGTGAACTGTTAGAATTCCTGCTCCATAATTGCAGTCATGGGATTGTTGTCTATCACATGACGGTATATGTTTTGACTCCACAAAGTGGGAAGTGACGGAGACAGGATGTTTGTGTTACTGTGTTCCGTGAAGTGGGACTACTGTCCTTTGTTCTTTCTCGCTTTGCTGTCTGATGCTAGAGAGAGAGGGAGCCATGTTGCAGTGCCCTGTGTGTGTTTATATGTAAATAAAGTAGATTAGCCAAAATGCTGAGTTACTGAGGTCTGTTACGCATGATGCGCAAACTCTGCGGAACCCTAAGTGTGCCAGTGTCTTTTGGCGTCGGTTGCTGTGATGTTTGGGCAGAAGAAAGCTTTTGAAGCTCCCGAATGATCGACCAGGAAGGAGGGAACATGCCAGTTGGGCATGTGTCTCTACCAGAGTCCTACTTGAGTATAAATTGAGCTCCTGACATGAATATCATTTTAATTTGGTGGTTTAGAAGTTATCAGATTATGTGCCAGTTCATATGGACTTACATAGAATAGACTTCAAACAGCGCACCAGCACAGAGAAGGCACTGCTACTGGTAACCAACTATCTTACTTTTGAAGGCTTCTAAAGAAGACTTTAACAGCCAGATAGGTTCATATGGGAGCATTTGGTCTTTTTAATACACTTTTTAGGGATTTATAGATCAAAATCAGTGAGTTTCAACATTAGCCATATTTAGGGCAGGTTCACCCTGACAAAAAAAAGCTGATCCTCTCCCCAAAATGCTCAAAAACTCTGGTCAACCCAATGGGTAGATCACTGCCTGTTTTTTGATAGTGGGAGTAGATCACAGTCTCTTGGAAGTTGGACGTCTCTGCACTAGAGTATGCCCTAATTCTGAGATGGTAGCCCTCTGTCTATGCTGTATGGCCACAGGTAGCCCACTGAGGTTTTAAAGACCTGACTCATTTTTGTATGGAAAAACATTCATGCATTTTGAAGACTCTATGACTGAACCCTCCTCCAAACAATGGATATCCCAGACACAGCTTTACCATCTCAGTGAGAACCAGGTCTTGCGTTAGATCGATTCCTCTCTCTCTCCCAGTGGGCAAAAATGAAGATTGATTTACAGCAACCTTTTCCAACAATCAGTTGCTTATTTCAGTATTAAACTTCCACCTGTTAAATACTTCTCCTCACCTCTGCGCTGCTTGACATCAAAGTCTTAATCCAAATGACAGTGTTGAGACAAGGGTCTGCTCCAAAGCCTGGAACCTGCAGAAGCTCCACAGTCTGCCCACCCCAAGCCAACAGTCTTGGTAACATGCGTCAATGAAGTTTAATAGAATCTGCCCAGTAGCTGGCTATGTCTAGCGCTGCTGGTTCAACAGCTGAGAAAAGTCAACTGCCTTGAAGACCACCCTTTTATTAAAAAGATGTTGTTTGCTGTTGTGGGCCACCATCCGTTCTTGAGTTGACGCTCCATTGCTACACAGACATGCTACACAGACGTTGTTATGCAGACATGGCTGATTGAACATGTAACCAAAAAGGTGTGGGCAGGTGAGGAGGTGACAGAAAAGTGAAGCAGTAGCCACATGCAATGAGAAAGAATGTGTATGCATGGAGGTGAAGTGCCTATCATTCAAAAGAACCTGGAGGTGGTCCTAGGTCCCACCCTGGTACCTTCTAAATATTTTGGATTACAACTCCCATCAGCCCAGCCAACATGGTCAATGGTTAGAGATGTTAGGAGTGGCCTGGAGGGCAAGTGACTGGTGAAGGCTGCCCAATGTATGAACAATGCAAAAGTATTGTTTAGCTGTAAGGAGATGCGCAGGGATATAGACTCTGAAAATGGCACTACAACCATTTCTGCCCGGAAGTCGTTCTGCGTGCTACTTCAAAACCATCCAACTATCTTTTTCTATCAATCCAAGAGAAATAGCAGTTGCAATTAGCTGGTAGTAATTTAGAGGCAGTGGCAGACAACTGCCATTGTGGATTCAATATTTGCTAAACAAGACCACTGGCCTTTCGCCATTCAGAAAAACAAAGCCTTAGCCTTCCTAAGAGTTAACGGAGTGTTTCAACAATCATTCCTTAAGCAGCAGGGTTCAACATGCTGTGAGAGCAATGGAAGAAGCTAGATAATAGACAGAGAAAACAACATGCTCCCATACCTATTTACAGAGTGCAAAGTCCTGCAACAAGGGCCTCAGAGTTCTTGGGGAGATGCCTGTCAAGATGGGTTAAGAGGTCTCAAGTTAAGCATCGCATCCTGACAGACATTAGTTGCCGAGAAATATTCTTTAAGTCATTCATTACTGTGCAAGTACTACAGCCTTTCCAGACAAGTGACTATGCAGGCTATTTTACCGAATGAAACTCCAGCTCTATAATTGTTTAATTATATGGTTGTCAAAGCCACAAATAGCTTGTTTGAGGAGTACAAAGTTCAATACACACAGACAGAGAAGTTTTCATGATGTTTAGCTGAACGGCTTCCGTTGGCAGAAAGAGAAGCAGTATTTTTCATCTGTCACATGAAATTACTGTTCATTTTCTTAGGAAAGTTCCCCTACCCCTCCCTTACCTGGTTCATTCCAGACATTCACACTGTACTAGTTTGCTTTCCTGCAACTTGAAAGACACTGATTCCCAGAAGTAAAAAACAAAACAAAAATGTGTTGTTGTTTTTTAAAAACACCACTTTTGCCATGCCACCACAGATGAATTGAGGTACCTAAGAATATTTTGGTTTGCCATACAACGGGCTGGTCAGGATTCACAAGTGGAACATGCCCTGATCTTGGAGGGGGGGTTCCTTAAGTGACCTACCTAAACACTTTATTATTATTGCTGGGTTTTAAAAAGAACCACAACTAAAAGTTGTAATAGAAAACATCAAGGAAGGTAGGTTCTATTAGTTATAATATGCAATTGTAGTAATATAAATTCTGTTCATATTAGAAATAATATGCAACTTCAACATGAAAAGAAACATTTTTTTCATTGCTAGAGAAAAAAGGTCAGAAATTAGCATTCATATAATGCCAATGACACTAGTTTACTGATCATTCTGAAAGAGAAAGGGGTTCCCCAACCCCATCCCCATTTTCCTCCCTTCCAAATCAGACTTTGTACTGTGGCAATAGATTGTCTTGTGTCCAAATTTTTCAAAAAGCCATTCCATGATAAACCGAAAATACAAGCACATAAGAAGTTTTCTGCAGTGACAAAAGATACCTAGTTTATCAGAAAATTCAACTAACCAGGCCATTCTACTTTGAAATTATGGTAGAGTCTACTGCTGTTGGTCTATTTATTTCATAAAATCGATATACCACTTCATTATAGAAAAAACATCAAAGAGGTTCACACAAAAATGTTATCTCCTCTAACCAGTATTATATTATTGCTTGATTGTTTTTAATGTAAACTGATAAGCATTAGTTATGTAAAATGCATGCAACCTTTATGATCTATGCAAATAATTTGTTATCTGTAGTTAAATTGTAAAAGTCAAGTAAAAAAATTTCAGAAAAGAAAAGACAAGTCAGTTGATAATGTCAATGGCAGATCCTTTTCTGCACTATGGACTACTTGGATTGGGGGGGGGGGGGTATACAAAGCAGAAGAATCCATAAAGTGCTTGTCCCATAAAATTAACATCACAGAGCCCAGTTGAGGTTCATTATTGTATTGCTATCACAGCAACAAAAACATTTCTAACACAAAGATTTGCTTATTTTTAAAGAGAGAAGTAAAGGACTATTATGATTCTTGAAATAATAAAAAGGGGGTTTTGAGTCATACATTTCACAGCGCTATCTATGAGCCAATGAACACTTTTAAAGATATGCAAACAAAAAACGGGGGAAAGGGGAAATGTAGAACAGTAGAGCCACCAGGGGAAAAAATGAACAGAATAAGAAGCTGGCTAGAATCCACTCTGTAAATCAGTAAACTTAACAGCAAATTAAGCTGCAAGATTCACTGTGCTAAGGGTCAAGTTGTTGGAAGAATCTGGATCTAAGTTTCTTTCTACCGGGCAAAGATCACCAGCAACTGAATTTGGGGTGGGGTAAAAGTGATATAAGGGACGTGGGTGGCGCTGTGGGTTAAACCACAGAGCCTAGGGCTTGCCGATCAGAAGGTCGGCAGTTCGAATCCCTACAACAGGGTGAGCTCCAGTTGTTCGGTCCCTGCTCCTGCCCACCTAGCAGTTCGAAAGCACGTCAAAGTGCAAGTAGATAAATAGGTACTGCTCCAACGGGAAGGTAATAAGAATCCCCACTGAAAGCTCCGAACCATCAATTAACCATCAATTAACTTACTTTGACAGATCTGTGTGTAGTATTAACACACACAAAGGGGGGAGGAATGGAAGTGAAATTGAAAAGATGATATAATACAGTACCTGTCACCATTTGGATTTATTTTTTTCTATTTTCCTTCCCAGGAATTAACTCTTTAAAGTATCTGTTTTCTTTATGGCATAGTAAATGAGGTCCAGCAAGGTAGCCCAGAAATCTTCAGTACTGTTAAAGAAAACAAAAAAATATTATTATTTAATAACTTTTATTCATCACTTTTGTGCCACAGCAACTCAAAGCAAGTTACAATATTTAAAACAAACATGTACGTCCATTTAAAACCAGCATTATACAAGCAACCTAAAATATAATTCTATTTTTTGTTGTTGAATAACTAGATTAAAACATCAACAAACAAAAATTGTAGGTTATGAAAAGGGACACAATCCCCGTCTCTCTCCCAAAAGAGGTAGTAGTAGTAGTAGTAATAATAATAATAATAATAATAATAATAATAATAATAATAATATATTTATACCCTGCCCATCTGGTAATCATTGTAGAGCAACCTAAGAGGTTTCTGTGCCAGTACTAGGCTTAAAAACCGATTGAATTTGATCTAGAAAATTCATGCAAGACAGCCTAGTATGACAACATCTGGAGGGCCTCAGGTTCCCCACCTAGCTATGCAGAAACTGGAAATATGAGTGATACACAAATAAAATGCAGCCTGTATTAGCTCTGGCAAGGTCCCAGTTTACATGCAGATCATTGGGAAGCACGATGGGTTCAATTCACAATGTGCAAGGATGTGAACCGCCCTGAGACTTAGAGCAGTGATGGCCAAACTTAGCCCTCCAGCTGTTTTGGTACTACAATTCCCATCATCCCTGGCCACTGGTCCTGTTAGCTAGGCATGATGGGAATTGTACAGTGGTACCTCGGGTTACAGACGCTTCAGGTTACAGACGTTTCAGGTTACAGATGCTTCAGGTTACAGACTCCGTTAACCCAGAAATAGTACCTCAGGTTAAGAACTTTGCTTCAGGATGAGAACAGAAATCGTGTGGCGGCGGCACAGCAGCAATGGGAGATGCCATTAGCTAAAGTGATGCTTCAGGTTAAGAACAGTTTCAGGTTAAGAACGGACCTCCGGAACGAATTAAGTACTTAACCCGAGGTACCACTGTAGTCCTAAAACAGCTGGAGAGCCAAGTTTGGCCATCACTGATATAAGGTTATCTACAAATTTAATAAATAAATAAATAAATAATATTCTGCACAGGTGACTAACCCCTTACCCTCAATGAAGCCCCACACTGGTGCATCTTGACAATCTTATTTAATACAGGGTTTTTGATATTCAAGTTCTGAGATAAGAAACGTCTTCCGAAATAATTTTTAGGGCTCCAAAATGGCAGCATTTGTACACAGCCGACCACTAATTTGTCACTGGTACCACACACAAACCATTTCTGGTGTATAAAAGCTGAAGCACGACACAGCTTAGTGGGTAGGCCGTACCGTTTGATATTTACATTCAAAGTTAGTAGCCTCGTAAATCTGACAAGTCTACAGTTGTGACAAGATATAGCTGCCAAATGTTTAGTACTTATATGAAACGAGAGGCGGGCAAGAAAGCAGTATGATGAAAGCCTGCGCCCAATAAAAGCAATAGCAATTCCTCTACCAACTCAAATTAATTCCAGTTGGAAGTTCATTTCAAGTGGGAGAAATCCCAGGCAAAGTGGAATCGTCAGCCGCCACTGTGGTGATCTAATGTAGCAAAAGCCATATTAAGTGCAGGGTGCTTTTTCTGCCAAGCTGCTTTTAGGGAATGCAAATGCTTAATTCACACTTTAGCACCCCCTCCCCCAGCCTTGGTGGATTTTAAACAGATTTAAAAGAGGGTGAGTGGAATCAAAGCACTTTTGCAGCTATTACACAGGTATCTCAGCTTTTGAAATAATCACACCGTTAAGTATTTCAAGGCTTTCTGGATAGTCAACAATAGTATCGAGTTGCATTAATTCATGACAGGGCTGGTTATAAATGGCATGAAACAGCTGTTGCCCAGGGGATTTAACTCTGTAGTGTTATAGAGAGCTCAAAGAACAAAGAAGACCGAAAAAGAAGCAGGAGAAGGAATGCAGGGAAGCTTTTCAGAAGGGAAACGTCTTGCTAAGAAACTTTGCCCTGGTTACTCTCCTTTTGGGTCCCATCAAATGCAACCAGTAATTTAGAAACCAAGAGGAGAAGGTGCTTCCTCTCTAAGGCTGCAATCTTATACCCGGCTGCAATCTTATACCCGCTTTCCTGTGAACACAATAAAACTTACTCCAAGCAGACATGTTGCACTGTAAATTGTGAACAAAATTTGAAGTGTCTATGTGCACGCGAGCACACACTACACACACACACACAGAGAGAGAGAGAGGTGCTAGCATTATCTGGAAATGTTAAATGTTATGCTGCTTCTGTCGCTGTTTGAGGATATAATCAGCAGTTTATACCTCCAACATCTGATTTGCAAGACAAAGCTCTACTTACAATGGAAGTTTACAGTCTGTAGATTACTGAATGATTACTCTTGCTTCTGAGACTCTTGCTCAGCAATGCTACTGAAAAGTTATAGCTCAAAAGACAATTCTTTTGAATTTTGAGCAAAGAACTCAAACTGGTTTCACCAAAATACAAGATATTTTTGCATTCTGCAATACATCTGCTGTTCAGTCGTACCTTTACAAACACTCGTTCACTCTTGCCACAAAACTACACTATATATATATATATATATATATCTTCACACAAGTGCCCATTAATGAAGCCTTGACAGCCATTCAAAACAAATACAATCCCCCCGAATACATCCTGGACCTGACCAACCACTGCCTAACCAACACGTACTTCATCCACAATGGACAAAGATACAAACAGATAGAAGGAGCACCTATGGGATCACCCCTCTCACCGGTCATCGCAAACCTGTACATGGAACACTTTGAAACCAATGCTTTAGACAAGTCAGAACACAAACCCAAACTGTGGCTCAGATATGTTGACGACACCTTTGTAATTTGGCCACACGGGAAGGAAAAACTAGATAGCTTCCTCACACATCTCAACAGCCTACACCCCAAAATACAATTCACTATGGAAATAGAAGCCAACAACCAACTTCCCTTCCTTGACGTCCTAATCTACAAAAAACCTGATGGCTCCCTAGGACACACTATCTACCGGAAAAAAACACACACCAACCGCTACTTACATGCACAATCACACCACCACCCTGCACAAATAAACTCCGTAGCCAAGACTCTCATCTCCAGAACCAAACGCCTGGCTGACAAAGACCACTTGACAACTGAGTTACAGAATCTCTCAAATGTGTTAATCGCCAATGGATACCAGCAAAACAGGGTTACGAAGCTAATCCAAAAAGAAACACCCCCCAAAAACCAAGACACAGAAGAAAACAATGGCATGGCCCTCCTTCCTTATATCAAGGGCACTACAGATAAAATTAGCAAAATCCTCCATAAACACAATATCAAAACAGCCTTTTGCACCAACCAAAAAATAGCCAATATCCTCAGAAACCCCAAGGATAAAATCCAGTTGGAAAACCAAGGGGTCTATGAAATACCCTGCAAAGTCTGCCCAGCCACGTACATTGGACAAACAAACAGACGAATAAATGCACGTATCGCAGAACACAAGAATGCCGTCAAAAAAGAAGAAAAAACTTCCTCTCTTTTCCAACACATGAAAGAAACAGGACACGAAATTAATTTTGCAGATTCCAAATTGCTCTTTAACATGGAACATCACCACAAGAGAATAATCATGGAAGCCATCGAGATAGAGAAACACCCTCACGACATGAACAAGCGTGATGACACATCCCGCCTGCCAGACATCTGGAAATTAGCCCTCCCCACAAAAACCGACACCAGATCCAGAGGCACACAGAACGCCATCACCAATCAACCACACCAGACCCAAACCCAGACCCTCTCCACAGATAAATTACAGACACCATCCAGTAGCCAAACCATGGTGGCACCTCCGGATGCTGCACCCCCCTGCAATCCCTACACAGATCTGGCTGGCACAGGACACAAAACCACAGCTCGCCCCTATACACGAAGCCAAGCCAGAGCACAACTAAGTGCAGTACAACCATCTTCTCAGAAAAACTCTTCACAAAGCTCAAGAGGTCAAGACACGAAGGCTTTAGCAACTAATCCACACCTAATGACCCACCTAAGTGGTACTCAGAATATCACTCAAGAAATCACTCAAGATATCCCTCAAGTAATTAAGGAACAAAAGAAGAAAAGGCACACTAGCCTGGGAACTTCCTCTCTGCCCAGAACATTGGAGGCTATACACCACACCCCCTCAACAGCATTTATAGGAACTCAAACACTGAGATCCTGCTCTGTTCCAGTAACAAGAAGCCGAAAGCACCAGCCTGAAGATGACGAGTGAGACCTCGTCGAAACGTCGCCTAGACACCCCAACTTTTACACGGGAAGACACCCGAGGACACCAAAACCTGCATATATATATATATATATATATATATATATATATAGGCACAGGTGTTTAAACACTGTAAGCCACATCAAATGTACTTTCGCAAGAAATTTCAGTCACATCTTCCTCCAAGCCTACAACCCCACAAAGCAACATAATCTAGTCTTGTGTCAAGGTGTTCCTGACCAGGAGCTGTGCTGCCTTAAAAAAAATAGTTTGGCAACCTTGAAAACTGCACACACTTCAAATTCCATGTTTCAAGCAATCTACAACTAAGTGAAAAACATTTGCAGAAGAACCAAATGAGAGACTCCCACAGCCCTAGATAGGCTTCGTATTTTCATCTCAAATCCTCCCACCTGACGCAGCATTGCATGTTTATTGCAGCTGATTTTACAAGACCTTTGTTTAAAACAAAAAACAACCTACATAGAGGATTAGAGTCTACGCACCCTGGGCTAAGCTAACAACAGTAATAGTTTATGACATGATAAATGGCAAACAGCAGCACCCACCAACATCTATGCCATTTTTGTATATTCTGTAGTTCTTACAGGGCTGGGTACCCTTGCAATAAACAAGTTGTGCACTAGACCACTAAAGAGTGCTTCATTGATATGCAGAAGACCAGCAAGGCTATTTCCATCTAGACTATCTCAGATGGTTACTAAAAAGTCATT